ATGAGTGCGTCGACCCCTAATAATCCGTGGGGTGAAGGCAATTCAATGACCTTATTGAAATGTCTAATTTTTTTTAATAATAAGAATGCAAATATACTCTGATGTTTCAATATGTCGGAAAAATACAACCGTTTTCTACTATTAAAATAAATATGTAACAATTTACGTCCGCGACAGCGACTATGCGATGTCAGCTTTGTAGCAATAAAGATCGTGCATACAGTTATAACTCGTATATGATTCCCAGCAAAAACTACTAAATCTTGGAAACATAGTGGGAAAATAATTTGGTATATTTTATACTATGAAAAAATTAACAATACATAACAAAATTAACATATGTCCAATACGATTATAAATTTTCCAATACGAAAATAAATTTATAAATTTGAGTGTTGGCGAAAATATCGCATTGAGGATACCACAATGTGTTTTTTTTTTTGTAGACCAGAAAGAAGTAGCTTTCTGGTCTACAAAAAAAAAACACGAAAACAATTGTGACATTATTTTTATATGACCAACAGGGGAGCGATTCAAGACATCCGTTATATACCTACACACATAGTCAAGGATATTGCATAATAATAAACGTTTCGTTTCAAGTAATATTTACTTTCTTATTAGTAAAAATGTGAAAGAGTGGTCGTTTGTTATTCTTGATGCTTTAAAGACTTAACCAATCGTTCATCAAAATGTAATATTTGGCATGAAGATGACATCATAGCCTATCTACTTCTCTCTCTGCGGTGGCCTTAGTGGTTTAGTGGTTTAGTACACTGGTTTATTTCCGCTAGTCGCGGGTTCGATACCTCGGTGTTTTCTATGTATATTATGTATATATTTACAAAAAAATGTAATTATTTATGTCAGTTGTTTAGTATCTATAACACAAGCTCTGCTTATCTTGGAACTAGATGGCATTGTGTGAATTGTCCAGAAGTGCTTGTTTTGGTAATCATCATCACGGTCATCGTATAGTAAAATAATAACCGGACTACTTCAATGAACTACATTACTTCGGTTAGAAGAAACGGATGTAACTTTTTTATACTGAATACAAAAAATGTTCGTTCCTTCTAATTAAAGTCTGAATAAAAATTCCTTAACAGAATATGTGTATGCCTGCTTAACCTCGACTCACATCATGAAATATGAACCTAAACTCTCGCAATAAATACGCATACGATATTACAAAAGCAAATTGAGCTAAGTGCTTTTAGCTCAAACAGCTAACCCTTTACAAGTGCTATTACTCCTATAATGTTAATTCGTACCGCCGACCGACTAGAACTGCAAATAAAACTTAAGCGTCCCGTTCCTACGCTATTTCGAACGCTTACAGATTCAAAATGGCGATGAATATTGCTCACTCCCGCGGGACGAAAACTACGTATTTATTTTGTTTCCTATTTATGTAATGGCATGCCATCCGGTATCAAATGTAGAAAATATTTTTGTTAACAATAGTGTGGGTGATTTTTTCTAATATATTTTCCTACTTACGAAAATATCACAGTACAAAACTCCTATACCTCATTAAGCATAACATGACCGCAATATATTACACTCTTTCCATTAATAATTTCACTAAATCATAAAATATTTTCCAATAAACCATTTTATGTTAACGCTTCATTTGCCAGCAAGAAAATAATAGTCTCCATTCAGCCAGGGATGCAAAGCCCTCTCTACTCAGCAACAAAGATATTTATTACGGCAAAGAGCAAAATTTATATAAATTATTTCGCGTACCCACACAGCGCTCATTATTCATCGCAGAACGACTTGAATAGAACTTTCGTAATTAGGTACCTACTTTTAGCGACTTTGAGAGAATATGTGAGTAAGGGGACGTCATGCTGTGACATTTAATTCCAATTTCTTACCAAATATAACGTTTAATTCAACAATTAAGTATTATATTATAATATGCTTTTGCTGTTAGATAATGTAATAACAATTGTTTATTTATGGTTGCCATTATAAACGATTAAAAAACTATATATCATATCGAGTCAAGAGTTTAACATCATTGAACATAGATAGATTAAACTTCAAATTCAGACCTTCAACAGAGAAATTGTTCATGTAAAGAAAATAATAAAAATAAAATAAATATAATATTAATAATATCCAAAAATGTCGTGAAGATAAAAAAATAGACGGTCCGGATTTTTTAATTGGGCTCTTTTAATTAACTAAGTTATTTATATAGTTTGGCTTAAATTAATTATTTAAGGCCAGTATTATCATGGATAATTTAAATGACATTTTTCTTATTCTGTATGTAAAATATAAATATTTATATTTATTACCATGTTTTCATTGTATAATTTAGTATAGTTTATTAAACATATGTAAAGCTATAGTAATACAAATTTTCATATGTAGGTACTTGACTCAAATAGTGTTAAAATACGATACTTGTAAGTATTCACATAGGTACTTTTTTAATCTTTTTTACAATTTAAAAACGAGTGTGCATAATAACATAAAAACAGATTAAACAACATCTGCCCTAGCACAGATAAAATAAGATTACATAGTCCTAACATTATGTCGATTGCGTTTCACAAAATTAACAAACGAAGAATTACTAATGCTTTGTTCCACAATAAACTGAATATTAATATAGCACAATATTACTGCCAAAATGTACAAACACTCCTCAATAAGTTCAACCCACCACAAACACGTTTTGAGAATATTCAATTTTAGCTCTAACAATATTTAATATTTTATTCCTCAAAAAAAAACGAGGATTAAAACAAAAAAACATGTCGATTAAAATAAATCAAACATAAAGATCCATTCAGAAAATATGTAACGTTAAATATAAACGTGATTTTTATAAAATGCTAACGACCAGACATAGCTTTACACGAGTATTTCATTAATAAACACGAAAAAATTTACAAAATATGAGAAAATTTTCGTGAGAAGATTTTCGAGAAGAAATCACGTCTTGCATGCTGTTTTCGTCCATCAACAAATTGATGGATGGAAACCGCATGAGTAGTTCTTCAGGTTATTGCGATAGGTAGACGAGCCGAAGGAATGCAATTTGTTTTATAATGTGCATAGACATACAATAGTACACTTTTTATTGACGATTTTATTAGCTGCCATCTTCTGGTTATTTTCTTGGAAATGACTTTTACAAAAGGCCATCTAAAGAAAGAACTTGTAATTACAATTGTTTTAACTTAATCGTAGTAACGTTAACAAGGGGTAATAAGTTTTCTCTGTATGTTACTCAACAATAATATTATATTATAATATATTGTTTTAAAGTTTCACTACAATTTTAGTTTTTATTTACTTTCAACTTATTTTAGAAAATGAAAAATCTCAACATATCTGTTTGTCTATATGTGTACTGATTTTACATTTGATTTTCCATAAATCAGATGATTTCTTCCCCAATTTGATGTACGTATCAAATAATATACCTATTTATTTCATTAATAACTGGAATTACGATATATTTAACTGCTACTCACACGTAATGTAATAAAAAATGGAAACTAAATATATAATAAACCTAATATATTAATTCAATTATATTGAAATAAATACGTCTGATCAACAACAAAAAAGTATCAGAATTATTCTTAAAAAAATTGCTCCCTACCATGCAATGGAGCCTCTTTATATTATTTTGCTAACTGTCCTACTTTAAGAGCCAACAAAAAATTCGACCGCCTGGAGAATTGCCAGATACCATTTCCTGCCAGCGAGTAATTCTTACTGAAAAAACCACGAGGCAGCTGACGTATAACTTCATAAATAATTCGACAGGGGGCGTGTCTCCGAGTTACCCTTGATGTCTGTACAGATTTTTAAACGCCGACTTATTTTTAGGGTTTCGGTATTTGCATACTAAATGGAGCTTTCTTATTGTGTTAACATTAAGAAGGGCTTTAGTCGTCAGACTCGGATTACAATTTATTAAACGACAAAAAAATTATTAACCGTCATAAAAAGTAAATTCTACCCAATACTACGTTATTAATACAACTAATGCGTGAGTTCCTTATTGCTTAACGCCGTAACAGATACACCATTCTTAATAAATTTTTTGGCATAAATGTAACGTTTGTGATGTAAGACATATCCTACTTTTCATCCCATATCTGAGTCAGTTATGAGATTACTCTCATTTTATGCATATCATCATTCAAAGGAAAGAACGCCGAAAAAAAGATGAATGCACTTCATCTTTTTTGGGCGTTCTCCTCGTTCATATGGAGTATTGTTCTATAAGAACAGACTTATAAGGAAAGATATGTCCGAAACCACGCCCTGATTTAAAAAATTCTTCTATCTTTTGACACAGGAAGACAAGTATGTATATTTTAACTTATGTATGTGTGCCCGGAGAAAACCGAGGCGGGGTTACTACTGATTAATTAAGCCTTTGTATAGCAAACAACGAAATGACCTCATCTTGTAAATAATCGAAACTTCGATTTCTTTTGACATAAACCCAAAAATACAATTGAAGCGAAGAATTTCTCTTTGAATATTCATATAAGTGTTTGTCTTATTCTTTTTGAGCTGCTATGTCACTTTTTCCTTAGTTAAATCACAGGACTACATTTCTACAGAATATAAGCTTGGTTTAAGCAATACGCTCACTCCGGAAATGAATATTAGTAAAAACAAGTATGAACAATATAAATACTATTTGAACTATCAATGAAACGTGGGTTTCAAGGGTCTGGTGACTGCTTATAGGTTTTATTTAATAGTTCAAGATATAATTGTACCTATATAGGTATTTGCAGAATTTTATGGTTATCTGTGAAACCGGTGTTGTAAAATATATATTGTAACTAACATAAAAACAAGTCGGGTACATTTTAGCATTGCTCAAACAGAATTTATAATTCTGGGTCGTGTTTCTCTTTTGCTTTAATTTTTTAATTATTTATATTATATGTCAAAGGAATTTTAAGAGATCAGCTCAAGGATAAAGTGAAAGCTTCTGGTTACAGGTGCAAAGCCCGGTGTTGGTGGTCGAACTGACACTGAATAGATTAGAGGGGACCCAGCTGAGGGCTTTAGGGCTCCTGTCAGTGTTCGGATTCAACGTGACGTTCGCAGTCAGGGCTCCGAGTGAAGGGCCCGGGCCGATTTCGTGTAGCGCTATTGAGTGCCGTTTATTGGGCCACTGCTACGCTCAGCATAATTATCAGTAAGTAATTAATACACAACATATCTTAGTTTTACAGATATATATTTAACGCAATTTCAGATTGCAATAAATTATTATTATATTATAATAGAATTTACAGTAGTTCATCCTTGAATGTGTGTATTAAATATTTTTCTGCTAAACCATTTATTATACATACTGACTATGATAAAGAGGTCAAAAATTGTTATTAGTCTGTTTATCTTTGCACGCTAATCTCAGAAATAGCTGAATAGATAAATTATTTTCGCAAATGTAATAGTACCCTTCCCGTAATATTCATTAATAAAAAATGTAATCTATTATTACTCCACGCATACGAAATCATGGATACAGCTACTAAACTAAAATATATTGCCAAGACTCACAGACTCATAAGGCTTTTATTGTTAAAAACTATCCTTATCCTTTATTACCCACACTTGCTCACATCATTTTCATATGCATGCAGTATATTAAATTACATTAGTTATAGAATATAGAAGAAAAACAACAAAGAATATTTATAACATTTTCCAATAACATTAAGAGCCAAACCACTAACTAACAGTAACAGGCACTAACATTAAAAACTCTACAGTGGTCAATAAATATGGCTTAACCGTATTACATAGAAGAACTTTAAAAACTAGTGACTTTAATTCCATTCCACGAGACCTGGAGAGTAACTCTAAGAAGTTACTTTTTACATTATAAACGCTAAGTATTCATAGATTTTAAAATAATAAATGATGATGTCGAAAAGAATTTTATATTATTACCGCTGCCCAAGTCTTAATTAAAATAATCTGAATTTTCCGTAGCTATTCTGACCATAATTGATCATTTTATAAAGAGCTGCAAATTTAAATTCTCTTTAGGCAGAATCAAAATTTAATTTAGAGTTAATCCCGCCTAAAATTACGGATAATATACATTATAAGTCAGAAGCAAATTTGTCCATTGAAAATGCATTTACATAGAAAATTTTCGAATATTTCGTGTTTTAATGGAAAGGATTTATCGACGAAAAATCTCTGTCGCAACGAACCCATTAACGAAGTCAATAGAGCGCGAAAATTTAGTGCAAAGCTGAACAAAGTGGGCGCGATGGAATCTGGTGACAAGCGGACCACTCGCGGCAATATAGTATCATCATTCACTGTTTACAAATTGCAAAAACTAGCCATCATGCAACATGGTATCACACAGGCTCCACGCGGTTATTTTGTGAAATTTATTGCTTGTAGCCCAATATTTTCCGCTTTGCAGAGAGTTTTACTGCTCCTGTTTCGAGGGTTACTCCGGACCGGACTGCGGAGTGGGCCCGCTGTGCCCGAGGACCTCCAATATGTGCAAAAATGGCGGCACCTGCAGGTAAGTAAATACATGAACAACCTTCACTATTTTGTTTCGCTCCCACGCTATGTTTAGTAGGCAGCGGTCGCTCGCTGCGCAATTTACTTGGTATAACGAATTTTCACAACGGAATTCCTCCTTGATATTTGTTGAGATAAACTTTGGCTCGTTACAAGTTAAATGCACATTACTCTGAAGCGGTCCCGTCTTATTTAACTTGTGTGCGGAATGGTTCGGGCGCTGTCTTTGTATTTTCTGTGAGGGCGCCGTACATGATTTTCACTGCACGTTATTTAACTTGACAACTCCTTAATTCAGTACAAAGCTTCTAACACCTGACACCATGAATAATACAACAGCGTGTGTTGTCAGTGTTTTGTGTGTGCTATTTTTATACAATATACATATATTACGTATAGTATCTATCATATAAGTATATTTGTATACAAAATATTTTTTATACGCAGCAGAGAATAAAAAAATATTTGTGTATTATATCGATATTTTTGTTACTGTAATTGAAATGGTAATCACTCTGACGACCTACACAATACCATGGACTTCTTGAGACGCTCAGACCTTGATATTCCTAAGGAATAAAGTATCATACCTTCTATACTGAAATTTCGCTAACAAATGTCACCTCTCAAACGAAAGACTACTAATAAAATAAACTGTTTAGCGGCAGAAATATGTGTGAGAGAGATACCTAAGCAGACAACTTTGCACAAAGTGGCTGACTTTCAGCAGAAATTATGATAAGAATAAAAATATACGCGCTACTACATTTGATAAGTAAAGCGAATGCCTGATTAAGGGTTTCATCGTTATAACTTCAACTTTTGAAACGAAGCGCTGAATCTGGAGATTTATCACATAACTTCTGTGAGCTGACCTAAAATCAGAGTAGAGAATAACACACAAATACCCCTAGGTTCTTTATCGTGACATCGCTAAAGTTAGAACCAGTACTGCAGTTCATCCAACAAAGATGAAATTATAAAGTTAAACTGACTGCTGGCTGCATCCACAGAGACGAATAAGTTTGCAGCCTGTATATATATGAGTACGTTGATTCTCTCTGTAGGTATACTATATTGCAAATTTTCACTAGTATACAGTAACAACAAATTATAGTAATATTACTCAAACTCAACTCAAAAATAAACATGTTCCTTGGTAAAGAAACTGGCACCCGCCTAATAGGAAGGGATTACCGTCAGCTACAGATATTACAGCATTACGGATATTACAAAATGAGTAGTGAGCCTTATTGTTTTTTTGTATATTAAGAAAACAATACTGTTATAATACTTATGTGATAATCGAAGTACATAAATATATACACATACACATTGTTTTCGCATATAAATATCATTACCATTCCTGGAATAAGTCTTATGTCTCCCGTACCTAACCTTACCGTCAACTGTTTGATCTCACTTCAAACCGGAATACAACTTGCGAACGTTGCATCGTAACTGACGATATAGTTGATATTGATGACTTTAAGCAAAGACTATTTTGACAAAAAACAATTTGACAAATCTTTAAAACTCTTCGATTATTATGTATGTGTATTTCAAAGGTATATTAGATTTTTATTTGTTACATAGTACACACATACAGGTTTAATTACAAACAGTATATATTACAGTACAAAATATCTCATAGATCAGTGTGGAGAATGACTTAAGGAGCAAAACACTGGTTATCTTTTGCGAAGATAAATATACTATTTTAATAAAACATATATAGTTATATACTTATATTATTTGTAAGCAATTAACTTAACATTTTGTACAGACAGATGGGTCCGGCGGCTGTAAGCTGTATTTGCGCTCCCGGCTACACCGGTGATTTGTGCGAATCACAAATAGCAGAACCAGGTTAGTACATTAATTCTATTATTACATTTATCAAAATCCACGACTTAGGACAAGGTCTCTAATTGATAGTATTTTTTTTGTCTAAAATCTGTTTAGCTTTATGGAAGATGTCCTCGGATGTAAACAGATTTTAATTATATGGAATCAATAGGATTTATACTGGTATTAGAATTACATTAAAAATAAAAGAAATTAACACGATTGTTCACTCGTTTGTTTTCGCGGCATGGAATTAAAGTACAATTACACTGCCGCAAGAGACCTCGACATAAAATCGCTGTCCAGGCGGTTTAATAATAAAAAGGTAAATTATCCACTTATGACGGGAAAGCCGTGCCTTGTAGTGGAACAATGAAATATTTGTTTTTATGATGTTGAATGACAGCCTATTCATAAAAATCTGTGAAACCGTTTATTATAACCAGTATTATTCATCATAAGGCTTCGAATTATATAACAGTATTATAAATAACACAACTATGTTCAACTTACTGTTTCTGTGCGCTATAATTTTCTCTAGAGATTCCACAAAGAGCAATTACAATCGGGAAGCGTTAAGAATCGCAACGGGAATTGGCTAGCTACAGCCCTCCAATTAACTTCACTGGCAAATAGTTAGCTATTTGTAACAATACGAGTCAAAAAACCTACCTCTGAATCGAAGTATCGAAGTTGTTTCCTGACCGATCCAAATAATTTTCCTTTTGTTGTAGAAATGCAATATACAGTAGGTAATTTTAGACTTATATATTGCAGTTTATTTTACTACTGAAAAAGAGATAGATGGACTGTGTGAAATATGATATAGTAAGAACTGCGAAGAGGAATGAATGGAAGAGAAAAACCTATTTATTACGCCGACCCCAAATAAATGGGATAAGGAAGAAGCAGATGGTGATTTTACTACTCATATGTATAGCGATATGTGAGAAACTTTCTTTTAAAAAATTAACCTATCCTGACATAATTTGTGTAATATTAATAAGATTATATATGTAATTAGAAATAAATGTATTTATTCCTATTGATATTATCTATGAATCGTTTATCGTATTCATAGTACAAATACAACATATAGTAGTGTTTAATTTGGAACTTAAACTGTCCAGTATCCAGGCTTTTTTAATATTTTTAAATCTCATTGATTACAACAAAGTTCATTTTGTCTTTATACTATAATTCTATCAGGTGCATTGTAAAAGGTATATGATATTATAAATGTAAAATTTTAATATTAAAGACATATTGTGTGTAAAGTCTAGACCGCCACACCACTCTGTCAAATAAATGTTTCTGTACCATGTTTGTTCCAAGTGCAAATTGCTTGTATAATATCACAAATGTAACTCGTTAGAACATACATTTGTCCAAGTTGGTTAGGGTTGCCAACTATTTATATATACACGGTTTTGTTGAACAAATCCCATTTATTATTATAAAATGTATATGTATATATATAAAATAGATTTTTTATTGCGACTGGTAAGAGAGTAATATTTAAATTTGAAAAACATCAACACTATCGTTATATAATATGAGTATATAGAATATATAAAACTTTTTTATAGAAATAAAATTCTAGGCTCTGTTTCTTATCAAATTCATAACTTCCTTAGACATAAGTTGCTTTCTATAATTATTATTTTGTATAAAACTCACTCCGACTTGTCACACAATATACTATATAGGTATATCATGTATTACTACAACAGTCAGTGTTCCAGTCTCAGTTGAATTGGTTTCAATGAGCGCTTAAACCAATTTCGGAACAGTACTTTTATTGAATAAATAGTGATTACTATCTTATATATCATTATTATTATTTTGTTTCCGAGAATTTTCACTTAAATAAGTTTATAATTTAAAAAAATATTTTATGATAACGATGAAATAATACAACAATTTCCAACCCTAAATTGTTGAAAACTACTGTTTGAAATTCTCCGCTTTCTCTTGAATAGTTTTGTTGATACAACAGGTGTTTGGTACACATGTACTGATTAACAACCAGTTTACGTGTTTATGATATGTTATTAAAGAGTTCATTATAATATAACAAACCCAAAGTTTCAAAAGTATGTTGTATACGTACTTTCATTTTATTATCTTTCCATTATCGGTGCCAACTTTTTTCCTCGGTCATATATTTTGACGTTAAATGTGTCACTCTCTATGCGATGAATTACAAAGAAACATAAAATTTATTTGTGTACCCTTCCAGATCGAACATTCAGATTTATCATTTTAAAATAGGTCCCTAATATCTGTATATAGTATACAAAGTGTTTAGGATTGTCTAATTATACGAATGATTTCATGAGCATTCTAATACTCAAAAATTTTGTAAATTTCCTTTATATAAATTGCATTTTTGTAAATTAATTTAATATATGGTTTTGTAATTAGTAAGGTAAATACCTTTAGATATTATTCAGATCGAAAATAACTTTTTGTATGTATATCTAATTGTGTATACAGTTATCTATATTAAAAGTAAGTTCATTAATATTTAAGGGGATGAATATAAGTCAATTGATCTTTATTAAAAATATACAAAGACAATAAACTATTCTTATGTCTAAAGTCATTTTAATATATTGTATAAAGTTTGAAATGTTATTAGAAGAACAAAGTTCGACCTACCGTCTAGACTAATATCAAAGAAAATCTATTAGTTGTTTAGTTTCTTTTTTATTAAATTTATTTCAATTGTATTTTGGTAAGTTCAATGAACCAACTAAATATTCATGTAAGACCAGCAATATGTTTATTTTATTAAGAATTAAAAAATAATATAACACAAAATTTATTTATTATAAATAAATAATTTTTTTATAAATAAATAAATTTTATGTTATATTATTTTTCTCTGTCTGTTTGTCTATTACATCTGTCTGTCTAAAAAGACACAAGAGCGATGTATTAGTAGATATAGGTATATTTAGATATTTACGTACGTACGTACGTATGTATTACTATGTATGGATTGTTTTATTCACAAATACGGTTTAGGAGCGAATTGATTATATGGATATAATAATGGCCCCCTTGTTAGCAATTTATAATATCAGGTTGACCTCCACGTAATTCTTACTGAATACCGTTTTGATTAACAATTAGTATTACATTAGTTAACCATCATAGCAAATTCACCTGCAACTTTGCTATAATGGTTAACTAACCTAACTGTATGCTCATCCTAGCATTCTCTACTGGTGCCTAATTAAAATACCATTCCATATCCACCCATAAAAAAACCTATACCTCCACTGTTAAGAGCATACAGTCAAAGCAGATGAAGCACAATTCAATGTTCATCCATAAAAGAACTGTGTTATTTAAATAAAAGTTAACAATCTTTAAATGTTGTGTTGTTTCAGAGTGTGGTATTGAGGAATGCTCCGATGGCTGCAAACAAGGAAGCACGTGCGACTGTAACCCGAAAGATTCTGATTTCAGTAAGTATCAAACATATTTATATCATCATCTTTCTGTACACCTCCCGTCATTTGAATCACTATGATTGATATATTGTGTTTTGTTTACTCAAGTATCTATTTATTTAGCATTTTACTCTTGTGCATAATAGTTTGTATTTGCACAAAATTTTAAATATACAATATCATATTATTATTTTTTTCTTTCTTTCTTTCTTTTTAAATCACACTATATGGACGTTAAATAGTGTCCATAAACGTTTTACAGAACAGAATGGCTTGATTTTTCCCATTTGTATGCAATACTGCATTCTCCAACATCTTTGTAGATGTCAAGCGAGATTAGGGCAATATCATGTCATAAGACAAGCTTACCCATGATAGATCGCGGTTTTATAAAGATTTGTCGGGACATATTTTCTTAAAATTCAAATAAGAATACCTAAAATTATTATAGTCTCTTCATATTCCATGCGATGAAAAATTATATATATATATAAATATATGTTAAGTTAAATCTAATCCTCCTTATCATTAATTACTTAAACACATACATTATTAAAAATCTAAAAGATAGTAAAAGGAAAGATAAACCTTTCCTTTTTCTACGTTCGTAGAACACGTTCCTATACTGGAACCTTTCTCATTAATAAGTAATATTAAAAAAACGAAGGAATTACAGTTTTGTAGGCGAAACAAACTTACAATTTATCACAAGAATCAATTCCAAGGAATGTTTCATTTCGTCTAATTAACAAGTAAATAAGACGAGTAATCAAACTTGGTAACAAATTTCTAATGAATATGTTGATGACTATAATCAAACCTTATTGATGTTAGAACTTGATAATTTCAATATCTCCCTTAGTAGTAGGTAATAGTAATTATTATTATAATTTATGTATATTACAATTCAATGTTTCATATAGCGTAATTAGTGAAAGTAATTTATTATATTTAACATAAATTATATATAATCGAGTGTTACTTGATAACATGGTAACAATGTCGTGTTTCTAATCTCGACTTAAATATAAGAACAACTTACTTTTTATATAATAATATTGTTCACTCGCTTCTAATAATATTCGTGAGTAGAATGTATAATCTTATCATATATCATCTTACTAAAATTATAAACGCGAAAGTTTCTGAATATGGATAGTTGAACGGATTTTGTTGAAACTGTACAATAATATAGCTTATGCATCAGAATAATACGCTAATATTATGTAAATTGATAAATATAAAGATAAATATCAAGTAAGTTTGATGCAGACGAAGCGCGCATCAGCTAGTATTTTATAAATCACCTCATTCTTTTTTATTATTAGTTTTCATGTAACATAATTTGCCCGTCCTAATACAATATAATTATAAAAATATATCTTTTTTATATTTACAATAATTATATTAAAGACCTTATATGTACACGTTAATATAATAGTTAATATACCATTCGGATGAAAACCATACCGTCCCAATTGTATAAAAAAATGAAAAAATAAATTTAACGTAACATTAAACGGGCAATATTTTAATTGACAGCATCAGCACGCTATGAAACAAGACTGCAGATAGTGGACCAAGCCAACATCAACATATCGCAAGAAATTGTAAAACAAGTAAGTATTGTCGTTGAAATGGTATTAAAGATAATCAATGTTAATATATGCATTATTCTAATAGGTGACGAATTCCAGACCTCAAATCATTACTTATTACAAAATTTTAACTAAACAGAACGTTTGTGTTAAATTTTGCTACCAACATGGAAGCTGATTGTTTGATTTGGGTACAGGTTAATTTTGCTAATTTCCTTGTTGATTGAAAACAAAAAGATATTCTTTACTCACTTCATTTAACCTTTTTTTTTCAGATTACAATCTTTTTAAAAGCATCGAATATTACATTAGAAGATGAAACTGAAGTTTTAAATATAAGGTATGTATCTTTACTATCTTTAGTCTATACTTCTAATATTGCCTCTAACTTTAGACATGTCTAAATAAAAACATGCCCCTAATAAAATTTTACAAAACAGAAACCAAATAATAAAACTTTCTATTAATAAACCAATACAGTTCTTCCAGATAGAATTTTACAATGATTAATTATTTATTTTTTTAGATATCGTAACTGTGTCTTCACATAAGTAATAAGCAGGAATTGAGTTTTACATGATGTACATAACTAGATTTTCTGTATGGGATGGACTAACTATGTATAATGTCGTAGGCGTTAGTCCTTTTCATCCCCAGGATGTCGGTTTAACTAAACTTATTAGAAGAACGAAGCATGAATTGCAAATGCATGCGCACACTCGAAACAAAATCATATTAAGCAACATGGCGCTAATATAATTATCTTATAAGGAAACACATTTTGTGTTATAACTATAATAATGTCTTTCGAAATATACATTTGGTGGGGTAATTGGTACATATCTTGTATTTATACTATGTAACAAATTTATGGAGTGGTATTTCGAATTACAATAAAAGGAAAAGTTTGAGTGTTCAAAATTCAGATCGTAACTCGTATTTTCTATAAATATAAAATAATTACTAAACCTAATACGCTAAACAAGAAATAATTCAAATAACCCAAAATTAGAAAAAGTTAACTTGATTTTCCTTATTATAGTTCGCCAGATGGTAACGGTTCTAGAACGGTCTGGCTGCGTCTGTGGGGAGCCCGACGAGACGCAGGCCCGTTACGAGCGGCGTTAGTCCGACTCGCGGCTACGAGAGCTCGTTCAGAACGTTTGAGGATATTACCTGCTAAACAGCACTTCTATATGCAACCAGCTCTTAGCTTACAGGTAGGATTACGAATTATAAACATAATTTTTTATTAATACTACTAAGATTAGTACTTTACTAATCATGATATACAGAAGTAACTATATAATATTATGTCTCACTCGTGTTTCTATCATCAACATTCATCATTCGTTCATCTCTGTTCAGTTCCGTTTAAGGTTAATATGATAAATTTTAGTTTTCAATCAGTTCATATTTATCTTCACAGATTGTTCTGAGGTCTATGTTATGTAATATTATATATGTTACAGTGATTGTGTAATATCAAATGGTTATTTGGCTAAGATAATGGCTATTCCAAATCGAATAAAAAATTATTGAGCTTTCTTATCTTTTTTTTAGTTCGATTTAAAGTGTCAAATGGCTAATATAATCTCTAAGAGTAATCGTGCAGGAAGCTACGAACGCTAGTCTGTTCACGTCTACGTCTGTTTTTTAATAGAATTAGTAACTGCCTTTATAAGAATATTTAAAAGCTAATCGTATAAAATTTGTATTTTAATTAATGATACAAACATGTTGTGTTAAATATAATAGATACATATGAAATATCTCCACACAATCGCAGGTATTAAACAGATTTATTTGAGAGCAGATGAAGTTAAAATAGATAACTATCTCTATCAATAACACTGAACTTTATCCGGACCGAGTCGACTGGATAAAGAATTGCCTCATTTTTCCTATGTCTACAACTCCACGCTTGTTCTACGGCGTTTAATTGTTTGAAATGTGATTTTACCAATGCTTGCGAACGTTAAAGGAGGAGATTTTAACCTTTTCTTTTCAAATACAGAGCTAACATTCTTCAGTGACTTGAACGTGTTTCTAATACTCATTTGCTATTGTAAGTTAATGTTAATTTGTATACATTTGTCGTTTTTCAATTAGCAACTTCGGTATTGAATATACATAACGCAATTGAATTTTTGGTCGCAATTCCGAAACTACTTAATACATATTATAAGCTTATTATTAAAATAATAATCGGACCTCTTTAAATATTCTACAGAGAAAAATTAATTCTGAACAAAGAAAGTTTTCATTACACCGTAGGTACCCGAAAGTGCCAATTCCAGTTTATTCGTACCGAGTTAAATTTGTCTTTTATTAGGTATAAGTAATATTACTGTTTAGTAACACACTTGCCCACACTATTAGATTCATTTAGTACAATCAAGCATACGGCCCATCTGATGGTAAACGGTTAACGTAGCCTATGAACGCCTGTATACCTGATAGAAACAAATCACTAACCATAAGGTATTCAGTCACCATCAGTTTACCATCAGATGGGCCGTATGCTTGATTGTCATCATTATAGTATAAAAAGGGGTTACTGGAATACTGTATATTATATATACAGTATATTGTGGAGCAGAATTTATAAGTAAATGATTTTGATTTGGATCTGCTGCTATCCACCCAAAAAATACATAAAAATACCAAGAAATGGAACGTGTCCAAAAAGTTAGTATCTACGCGGTGAAAAGTTTTTAAGACCTATAAATTATAACTCAATTACTTCGTATTTGACTCAAGAAAACAAAGTTATGAATATTGTGAAATCGACAAGAGTTTGTATTCAAGCAGTAAAATGTTTATGCGAGCATAAAAATAAATTAACACTCTGTTCTTTTCTTTGTTTTGTGATTTCTAGATAAATTTATTTTATTCTCAAACGTTTAGTTTTTAATATTATAACACCTGGTGACAGTATAGCGCCCTCGACATGATTAAGCATTTAGATTAAACGTGCGTGACATACGAAGCCTGAATCATAGGTTACTGACTTATACATAATAACCAAAATACGTACCAATTAATATCTGCTTATTTTAATCATACGTACCAATATCAACTTATCTTGACTATTATTTAATGAGTATATTAATTAACTAACGACCTACTTTCGCTGTTACGGGCTTGAAAGTACCAATTGCTTTTCGACTGATGTGTAAAGTTATTCCTTTCGTGCTTTAAAAGTGTTGAGAAAGTTCAATTTGATTTGAATATGTTATTCACCAGTTCCCAATTGTACTGTTGTATTGTTGTTGTTGTCTTACAATCTCAAAACATTTATAAAATATAAATTTATAGAAAATTATAATACAATAAAAACATGGCCTGTGGCATAGTATTTCCAAAAATTGAATACTTACACCCGTTACAACAATAATTACATCCGTTCAAAACCTCGACTGGAGACTAGAGTTTAATAAAATATTTCACTTATCTGTTTATTATTTGTTATAACGAGTTACTTAGTTATTTATTATGTCTAAGACGGCTTATAGTTACACCAGTGAATTTAATGAAAATTTATTTATTTACACAACGTCAAATGATTATTACGCGCTGAATGAAAAATATTATTAATAGATCTTTTGTTAGAAATACAGCATTGAGAGGTACGAAAATAGGTTTCCCATTCAATTACAAATATTCGATTTGTGCTTTCACACAAAACGAATTAATTTTTCATTGTAAAAACCTTGTCACTTCAATTTTGTTCACGTACCAACTACAATATTAAATATTTATAGTAATAAAAATACGGCAATTTTAAGGTCTTTGAGGTGTCAAAGCAGTTTAAATTTAATGCTTAAGTCACTCTGGAATAATGTACATTCCATTAAGTATTCTTTCTGCATCAAAATCTGTGTGTATTTTGTTTATAATTGATTATTACGTAATAGTTCTTTTCAATACAAAATGATAATTGTAATTTAAATTTTTATATTCACATTTCTAAACTTGTGTGGCCAAATATATAAAAAGGCACGTAGGTACTAATGTTGCCATGCATAAGATGGTCGCGAGAAAGTTTTAATTATTTGAAATGTGCATTTTAGCACTAGTCGGAAGCGCTTGGCATTCAGCCAGTAACAGATATTTCTCGTTAACCTGACTTAGCCGCTTCTTTATTGCACTAATAGCGGCGGTCTCATCTGCTGTTCTTAAGCTTCTAAACCAATTTAAACACAGGCATTAATTAACTTTCTAAACTAGCAAGTAGAGTGGGATATGAGCTGACAATGAACTTTGATAACTAAATACGAGACTATGCCTTATTATTTTAATATTAGGTAGTCATAATGGATCTTATACCATTATGATAAGAGCGTTACGTGTTCTTAATACTCTTATATATTTACTACTCTACTCGATTTCGACTTTAGTCTAATTTAAAGTTAGTTTTTGTTATAGCCAAGCGTCCGGAGAAGTTCTCTATTTATTTTCTTTCATAGTATTATGTACAGAGTAGTTTAGACAAAAGCGACACTACACTGTGATCCCGCAGTGTACTTTTTCAACATATACATACATATTTGCATTTCAGGGTTTAACAGTGAACCAACGTCCGGAAGTATGGGAAGGTTCAGAGTTCATATTAAGCTGTATGGCATATGGATCCCCAGATATTGTGTTCACATGGTACAAGGACGGAGTGAGGGTCAACTTTAACGGTACCACGAGGTGAGTGGTACATTTATAGACATTCAATTTTGCCTGGGGTCTGAGACCAATCAGTATATGTGTAGTACTTTACAGCGTCATCATCATCATCATCCTCATTTTGACTACCAATCTTCCATATATAATATAAATAATTAGATTACACTACCTTAAAACGAAGAGTTAATTGTTACATGAAGTAGGTAACTTTCCAATCTGTCAAAGTCTTATCTACTTACTATTACCACAATTGCTATGTAATATTATCTTATCTGAGTTATTACCGAGCAATAACAAATTAGTAAAGGCCTTAACAGCTATGCTTAAACTATATTTTTTCTTAAATATTATTTTTTTTATCTTCACAGTAAGGAGTGGATAATATTGTTAGTAACCAAATTTTCGGTGTTAAATTAGAAATATTTGTAAAATAGTAATGCTTTTTATAAAAATACAATGAAAGTCATACAAGTCTTTAATATTTTATTTTATGATATAACTAATGTAATATACTTAAATTATGAATACAACTATAATTTTATATACAAAATTCCCCCATTATCTCTAAATGTTGATATGATGCAACTTTACTTTTTCTATAATCTGGTATATCTATGTATTAATTAATTTCTATTTATCCTTCAATAACAATTCATTTATAAGTACATCTTGCCATATCTATTATTTCATAATTTCCCAGTTATTTCATATGCTCCACCATATTTTCAGAGACATGTGGACTCGAACAGTAGTAGAAGATGCTCTGGGTCGTCGCATGTCAGTATTGGGGATATCAGAGGCGCAACGGCCCGATAGTGGTAAATGGTCATGTTCAGCCGACGACGCCGGTAGACGACGCTGTCGTGCTTTGAGACTGACGATACTACGACCACCTGACATTCGGCTTATGCCGTCCACACTCACCGTCAATAAGTAAGTTTATCTCGATAGTAACCCAGGACAAATTACACAGCGTCATCTAGTCTGAAGCTATAAACAAGGTTTGAGTTAAGGATACTAAACAACTAATAGAACTACTTAAATACATTTTTTTGAAAATACACACGTAGAAGACCGCTGAGACTAATACCAGCTATCATTCTCATGAATACATGTTTGTATCAAGTGAGAAATCGAACCCGCAATCATCAAAAATAGGGTATTACCCTCCTTACTTCCGCTATACCACCGAGGCCATCAAAAGTCGTAGAAACTTAATAAATATTAGTCATTCTCACCTTAAAAAATATCTATGTGTTGTATGTTAATATTAAGAATCGGTAACGCAAATCTAATATGAATATTAATTTCATAACTATTCAGTTTTATAATGTTTTTTGGAAATGTAATGAAGACTAAACCAAATAGATCGATAATAATGTCGGTTAGTTGTCATAGACTGCGAAATATGGGCTCGTAAATAGGGAAATGAGTTTCACCACCATGTGGTTATATGTGGCAATAATAATTATCTATATAGTTGGAACAAACAAAGCTTAAAAGCTTACAAATTGACAACTTCTGACGCTATTACAGAATTAATATTTTTTTTATAATATTCTTAATCCTTACTTCCAGGGTGATAACGTAAGCATTACGTGCTTGGCTGGTGCTGGACGGATCCACGGCGCTCTAGGGTTCAGTTGGGCTCGAGAACGTACTTTACTACCACTCGCTCCAGGACGCGAGGTCTGGGAGGATCTATACCCAGCTGGCAGCGTCTTGAAGCTTTATAATATACAGGTAATACTTTGTACAGTGCAATTCTAAATTTGAAGGTAGAAAATCCGGCTTAAAGAAAACATTATTATTTAATAACACTTACAAGAAACAAAAATAAAAAGGTAATCAGTCAACTTAGAGTACTAATGGGTTGTATCAAATAGGTCCATAGCATACTTCTTTATATTTATACACAATATATAAACAAGGATTTATAAAAAAGGACTATTATCTCATGTGACATACACATTTTGGATGCAATTACTGAAATATAATACCTATGTACACTTGTATTGGTCCTTTGTAACATAGAAGTTCCAAAACTTCTATGGCTGTGTCAGCTCAGTATCCTCAGTGCAGAACGACCGGCATAATTATTTTTTCTAAATTTCAAATTTATATTGGACAGAAATCAGGCGAGTACCGCTGCCAGGTGTCATCGGTGGCGGGCACGAGTTCGAAACGCGTGACGGTGTGGGCGCTGGGCACAGAAGACGCAGCGTGCGGTGCAGATGCCGCACTAGGCCTGCGCTGGCCACGGACCGCACCCGGAGCTGTTGCCGCCGCCGCTTGCCCGCCCGGGCATACTGGCGATACTACCAGGTTATACAACTTGCATTTATCTCAATATAATAATTTTCCAGATAAATAATCTACACACACTGCACCCAAATTAGACTTTGTGTACAAAGTCGTCTACGTGTGTATCTGTCTCGCAAAACATTCACAAAACTTTGTAAAATTTGTTTCGGTTGGAAGACGCAAGTCATAAGCTTTCCGGAATGTTACATAAAAAAAAATTAACGGATTATATTATTGATCCTGAAAATATATAAATCTTTATTAGACCCACAGATTTCAAAATACCAATTCGTAGAAGTTTTGCCTGTCTAACGTGTCTAATCTTGTACATGCATCCCGCTACTTCATAAAAATAAATCCAGTTTTACCAATGTATTGCTAGACGTTTAACTTAAATAATAGGCTTAACTTTTTGCGAAGTTTGCTTGCTTCTTGGGACGACAATGAAAATAAATGGTACTTTACGTTGCTGGCCTCTACGTTTATGTTTTTCTATAGATATCTTTTGGTCTTCTTTTCCAGATTTTGTGAACCAAAAACTGGTCAACACGGTGTAGAATGGATGATGCCAGATTTCTCCGACTGTATCGCAGACTCACTCAGAGATATTTACGAACAGGTATCAATTTCTGTGATATTACACATATTTTTGATTACATATAAATTTTCGTTTACATTATCGACTTAAATCATATCAATGCATACAATAAAGGCATCTACTCCTATGTCATGGTTCTGTATCCAGACCTATCAGAGAGCGTATACGGATATTGGACTCCGGATTCTAGAGCCTCTACAATACTTCCTTAATCCAACTGGTTTAAAGAAGTACTGCAGTCAGCCATATACTAATCGAAATTCCTGTCCTCACCTCACTTACTTTCATACGTTTCCCAGCATCCTAGATGCGTAGATGACTATTTATTCACTAACAAATGCATTCTCAAGCAGGATTGATATCATAAAGGCTCCTGGTCATAAAAGTAGCTTAACCACCAGTAATATGGGAGAACCATTTGTTTTGTAATAGTAATGAAATGTTCCACCTGCCAGCACAAGTGGCTGATTCTACAAAAATATACATTCATTACTCGATGGTCAGCATTATACTTTCAACAATCAGAACAGGACAATGATGGCGCTACAGCTCATGTACGATGGTACTCAATCCCTCCAGTTTAGCCGCATCTGGTACGGATACTCGTGGGGCAACGTGTCCGACGTGGCACGGCAGTACGGCGCGGTGGTGCGGTCGCTGCCCGCGCGGCCGGGCGACGCGGCGCGGCCACTGCAGCACGCGCGCGCCATGCTGCACTACCTGCGCTCAGCCGCCGCCACGCCGGCCGACCGCGCCGCCACCGCCGAACACCTGCTCAGGATATTTGACGCACTCCTTAGACATCCTGATGCGTTTTTGGATGAGGAGGTTAGTTTCTTTACTTTTAAGGTGCTATTTTTATTTTTTAATGGATGTTAATCGAATGGTACATCCGCCTGAGTTAATGGTATACGCTGGCGGGGCACCAGTGGAGGATGATAAGATGAGCATGAGGTCAATTCAGTTAACCCATCGTGACAAATTCATCAGGAATATAAAACTATGCTTTCCACGGGGAACCGTGTGGAGGTCAACTAGACATGGTACTTTGCTAGCAATTGGGCGATTAGTTCACATTACTAACAATCCCTTTCCCCAATGGCTACGTATTAAGAGGTATTAATATTAATCAGCATAGAGTAATGAATAACGTGACATGTTTTTTTATAAATAATTATATAACGGTTGTTGAATCTGTAGAAAATTGCAACAAGATAAGACAGGCTGGATGCTTGTCTTATTTTTTTGCAAGACTGAAATAATAATAATAAATTTATTTTTGCATTAACATAGATCTTTTACAAAATGTGATTGTTGATATTATAAATTTGATAAGGACACGTCGAGGCTTCACCACTAGAGTTAACCACTAGACCTGAATTTCACCAAAGAGGTCATGAGTTTGAAACTGATCGACACCAGAAACAAATTTGTGACAATTTATATATGTCACTGATCTTCTGGTGAAAGCAATACTGATACAAAACCAAAAAGTCTATCCGAAAGGTGGCGATAGGCTCGCATCCTAACACGTTGGATTTAAAATATACAAAGCGAATTGTGTGCAAATCATTACAGTTAGTTCTTACAGTCTCTTTTTTATATACCTGTTACAGAAAATCTATGAACTTCAAAATGCAATAGCCGACACTGCCGCCATGAAAGACCATTTAGATTTACGGCTTCACGAGTTCACAGTCAAAACTATACCAGTGCGTGACGACAATGCAGCACATTTCGACCTTCAACCAAACACAGGATCCGAGGACTGGCAACTAACTTCGGTCGGAGTGGAACTTGTCGGGAGAACAGGCAATGCTTCAGTGATAGCAATACAATATCACAATTTGGCAGCAAGATTGCCATCTTTGAGAAGATCCATTGAGTTCAGGTGACTGCGCACGTATTGATAATTTTTGTGGTTACAGCGCAAAAGAAACGAAAATGGAAAAAAAATAAAGTAAATTTAAAACTGAAAGATATATGTAACAAAGAAAAAATATTTTCAATCTCATCAAATCTATAGGTATAGTGTGAAACTAATCGCATTATATAGATTTGATTTGCACGTGATAATGGCGAATACTCATAGAATAAAAAAAACCTTGTAACCTTCAGCTAATCAACGGCTTCGTCCATTCAATCTATTGAAGAAATAAGAGAAAATACTTTATTATTTTTATTGAAATTATGTGTTGCCATTCCAGAGGACTAACATGTCATGCCTCTTATCCTGTAAATCCACTGTTGTAGAAGTAAATCATGGGTCGCCGCTACTGTCTGTTCGCTTATATCTTATAAATTACGCAACGGATTTTAATGTACCTAGTTGTCAGCCGTTAATAGCGTAATGCAAGGTTTATATGTATAATACATGCGTATTATATAGAACAAGTCAACAAATGAATAGATTTGTAATGCACCTGTGCGAAGCCGGGACGAGTCGCTATTGTCTAATAAACTATTTCATTCACTAATTAATTCTATGTTGTTAATTATTTTTGTGTCTACTTCTTTCACTTTCTGTATTACTGTCACTTTCAAGTATTTAATATACTTAGTAACTGATTTATTATTTTATTTTAGCAAGGGGTCTTCGAGGAATGGACGAGAGCTTGAGTACGAGGTAACGTCCCAACAGCTACAGCTGGGTGCGAGCGGCGCTGTCGATCCAACTATGCAACACACAGTCACCTTACTGTTCACACATATCAAGAATCATACTGCTGTCGGTATGTAATCTATTGAAAAGGAAGCCTAATAACAGCAGAAGTAGAAAAACAGTTTCTTTTACATCATTATAGGTAACTATAATAATATTAGTAAAATCACGAGGCCATCTAGCCCCAAATTAAGAAATGGTTGTACTATAAAAATATATTGACAGAAATACTTCAATATTTTTTAAAGAACCCAAATCAATGTAAAGTATCATACTTATAAATACAAATGTTTGTAACGTACGAGAGTCGTACCCTCGACAATACCTAATGTCTATGTTTTTTTTAATACGATTCTCATAAGTAGAACCATACAAACTGTTCTGCCTAATATTAAGTCATTGTCATCATTATGATTTATGAGCTATGACCTCACTGCAGAAAAAACCTTTCGATAATAAAGTCACTGACTAACACAAAACCTATAATACATTAAAACATATTTTATTAACAAATATACATATAAAATATATAAGGTCTTTACATTCACCCCCTTAAAATATAATAAACGCAAAATTGTGTCTGTCTAGCAGTTTATTACCTTTTCACAATAAGTGGTTGAATGGATCATAAATGAATGTAGATCTATTACAGACTCTTATGATATGTCAAAAATACGAACGAACTGACGCCGGTTCGGGATGATTTCGAGATGAGAAGAGTTCTTGTCAGTTTAAAAACTCATCTCGTATTCTTTTCGAATAAATATTGTACATGTTTACAATAATACAGATTCATTACAAATTTGGGAGAATAGAGTGACCACCGGCATATGCTATTGTAAAAGCAAAAAGTCTAATCAGTGTTCGTAACCCGAAAAGACCAGTCCTCACATGCAGGCTATCTTCTATATCATAAACAGTAGATTATAGTCGCATGTAACAAGTAGCACGTTGTATGCAGGGTCGGAACTGTCATGCGGCGTGCGCAGCCCGCGGCAGCCGCGAGCGTGGAGCGCGGAGCGGTGCGAAGCGCGAGCGCCCGAGCCTGCATTGCTTGCATGCCGCTGCCGTGGACTCGGTACTCTCGCGCTCTTCACCGTCGCCCGCGCTGCGCTGGTCAGTTGACATTTGCCACCTAACGACCACTCATATACTAACCCTAATTACCTAACATATACCTGCAAGATTCGTATACACGAAACTAAACAGCTTTTCCTAAGAAGCAAAGTCCAAAACTGTAAACAATTTGTTATATATATATTTGTATACTTACATACTCTTTTGTACTGAAATCTATTTTCGACTTACTTATTTATAAAAATGGTAAAACTTCAGTAAAACCTATTACTACTATTACCAGACTTTGCCATAGGTAAATGATACTCTTGGTAACATGTACTAACATTGGTTCATCCAGTTATTAAGTTCGGTGTTATTTATGTTAGCGCTAATACCCACTCATATTAGTACATAACAATCTCAAACTCGCACTCTTCACCATCATATAATAAAAGAGCAATACGCAAGTTTCTTACTGATTCTTGTGATGACTCTGCATTCCGAATGAGTGGTAGAATAAAAAAATATACATTTTAAAATAATAAAATGTCATATGAACCCTGCCTCTCAACCCCATTCTATGAAACTTGCAGAGCCAATTGGTTTCCCTATAGTCATTGTAATAATTTTTAAAATATCCAGACAGATACAGAGAAAGATCTTCGTGGAATTGTCAAGATCACAGCTAGTTTGGGAGGTGCCATGTGCTTGGCAGCAGCGGCGTTGCAGCTTTTAGGTTTAGTTCCTGGGAGGAGAGTGAAATTGCCGGTGCTGCTGAAGGCCGCAACGGCCGGTACACATTCTGCAGCGATTTTGACATTGCTGGAGTGTGATACTAGGCAGGTACATATCATTCAGAGAAATCAATGTAAATTAAAGCCCTTGTGTCACACAATAGAATTTGATGTACAACTTTTCGTATCATACACAATATAAAAAGAAACTCTATGAATAATACGGTTAATAGTCCATAAAATATGGGTGCACTTCCTGAAAGTCGACTATCGTGAATTTGCTACGATGGGCTAACTAAACTGACGTCATGCTCATCCTATCATCCTCCACTGATGCCTCTCCAGCGTATACCGTTAGCGCAGGCGAATGCACTATTCCATTACCATCTTTTAAAATATTATTAGATTATTATTGTTACTACTAGTCCCCGGTAGCAGTCTCCTCATTTTAAAGCTGTACCCTGTAGAGTGAGTGAATACGCAGGAGGAAGCGTGTCCGGGCGCGCTGGGCTGGGTGTGCGCAGCGTGCTGGTGCGCGGGGTGCGCGGCGCTGTGCGCGCAGCCGCTACTGCTGCAGGCAGAGCTGGCCGCGCGCGCTCAGCGGGCACCCTCCGTCGCTCTGCTTGCCGGTACGGATTATCTCCATACCGATAACCATACACCAATAGCAGTCTACGCACTAAGTCAAATTCTTATAACACACTAAAAATCTTGCTATATTAATTATGCTATTTACATTATTATTAGTTATTTATTTTATACCAGTTTGTGCATCTGCAAGAAGTTGAGTATTTGAGGGCCTTGGTGGTTAGAACAATTGCGGGTTCGGTTTCTCACACGTCCATTTTTTTTATATTTATGTTATTTCCACTTCTGAAAACGAAGTACATGTTAAAAATGTGTAACGGTGCGCGTACGCAGGGGTGTGCACGCTAGCGTGGCTGTCGGCGCGGCTATGGGGCGGGGCGCCGCTGCAGGTGGGCGCAGCAGCAGCGGCGGTGTGCGCAGCCGGCTGCGCGCTGCTCGCCGCGCTCTGCCTCGCACTCGCGCTCTGCGCCGCCGCACGCTTGCGTGCACTCGCGCACAAGGTCCCGCCCGAGCGCAGGACCTACCTTCGAGACAGGTAAGCCACATCCCATACGAGTCATGTACCGACATATCATTAGAAACGAACTTTTGTTATAATTATTAAATGTTTCAATACCTCTTTGATGACGGTTACTGGCATATCGCTATAACAATTCCTGTGTATTAATGTTAATCGAACGTCGCTATTTGTTAGACATCGATGAGATCATCACTGATATTTAAAATTGTGAAATTGTATTGAGACAATATAGTAGAGTAAATACAAAGGCTGAAGTTATGATGGTGATAATGTTGACATACAATTGCTGTCTTCTCCTGACACATCCTTTCACGCGGGATCAGTAACGCGCGATTTAGTGCGGTAAGCAAGCGCCGCAATCGTGAGGGATTGCATCTAACTATTTTTTGGTTCACTCCATCTCATTTGGTCCACTCATTGTGCGCACCTATAAATCATGTCGAATCACTCCCTTTTAAAAATTTTAATACACACGTTTAATATTTATAATTTATCAATAACTCTATAATTATGTACTATGGGGCAAACTCCGCCGCCGTCCGCCATTTTACAATGAGAGTTAGATAATAATAATAAAAAATCGCTAAAGTAGGCACAATTGAAGACCCAGGGAATGCGTGAGCTGTCATCGCGCGCGGTCTTTCTCGTTTTATTTCTACATGCAAATTCTTTCCTGCCTGAAAACCTATTTGTCAGTGAAAGAGCGTACATGTAAAGGCAGTAATACGAGTCACGCACCGAAATGAAGATCATGAGAAACGAACTGTTGGTAAAATTATTAAATGTAACAATTCGGCCTTTACTGGCTCTACGTTATTGGTTAGAATTCGATAAGGTCAACATCTTTAAAATTATTAAATTGTATCGAGACAATATAGTAGATACATATAGGCTGATATAATCATGGCGATAATGTAGACAATATAAAATAGTGTTGAATATAATATAACTACTGATACTATTCAGGGGCCGAGTGATTCGTCACACGCTAGTGCTATTGCTGACGACGTCGGCGACGCAGGCGGCGGGCGTAGCGTACGCGCAGCCCGGCCCGCGGCGCCTCGCACTTGTCGCCGCCCTTTCGGCCGCTGCACTCGCCAATGTAAATATAGCCTTAATCTTGTATATAGATTATGCTTTAATTCGTCGCAAAAATAGAAAAGCTTTTTTTATTCGTATAAATTCTATAATAATAATATTTTTATTGCCATTTAATTTACAAATTTACAGCCATCCTCATAATCTATTTCATTGTATTTAACGTAGCATACATTTACAGAGAATTTACTACTGTATCTAAACTAGGACAAGCTTGAACGATAGATACCATTTTCTTCCAGCTACAATTAATTAAATAATCAGTTTTATAATTATTATCTTTTTATTAGTCTTATAATTCAATTTATCACGATCATGTACATACATAGGTAGAATATGTTAAATATTACACTTTAACATTTATTATATTATATACAAATGTAAATACAAAAAGGCAGCTTTATTGCTAAAAGCATCATCACGTTTTTATTGAATTGGAATATGTTGGGATGCTGGTGCGGTATAATTATGTTAAGGTTAATATTTGTCGATTTTCATGCCATCGATAATGCACGGTAACAAAAGAGCCGGCTAACGGCCGGTATTGACTTGCTAAATGAAAAGTATCTGTATACAGATTCCAACCCCTAAAATTTCATTATTTCGTCCATCAGGGAATAGCGATGATGGTGTGCTACGTGATCCGCGACGACGAATGCGTGCGGGCAGCAAGGCGCGTATTATCACTGCCCGCGCGCGACTGGCATCACCACGACTCGCCCGCGGGTGACACCTCGCTCAGCTGTTAGTGCTACTTACTCCCATATTATTTAGCATGAACTTAAAAGCACAAAAAATACATATTTCTATTTTTTGTGCCTTTATTAATAAGACCATGAGCTCATGGTAAATATAGATCTTTACCATCATTACACTAGTCATAATAGAATAGAATAGAAAATCACTTATTCAAATAAACTTAATTTAAGCACTTTTGAATAGTCAGAACAATTTGTTTTTCATCTACCACTCGTTCGGAAAGCTGTCTCATCACAAGAAGAACGAGCAAGAAACTTGTGTGTTGCTCTTTTAAATAATCTTTTTAAGTTTACATTTACAAGTCGAAACGTGTGAATACAAACTACCAACCAGCACTAATTTTTTGGGTCAAATATAAATATACAATAAGATTAAATCAGTCGTAGTGATAAGAGCAGACCAGTCCCTACAAGCAGCACTCGTTCACGAGTATGACGGATGAGCCAGCCATCACTGCACTCGACCATATTTTAGGGAGCCCAATGACCCGGCCCACCACGCCGCCACATGTCTGGACATTTTAGTGAGCATGACTACTAATTCCACTCGATACGTCACAGCTACAAAAATTACTTTATGGTAGTTACAGTATTCGCACTTTACATGAGGATGCATACGGCAATCAAAACAAAAGCCGCTACGCTATCATATATCAAGAAAGCAGTATGAAAAATAAATTATAACGTTGTCCGCAAAATAAACTTATTCTTGCTATATATTGCTATCATCTATAAATTCATCTATCTTATAATAGGCTTTTTTACATAACATTGCCTCTCTGTAAGATTTAGCGTAGATTCTGGAAGTTTATTATAGAATCTTACGCAATTACCATAAAATGAATTACTAACTTTGTGTAGACGGCATTTAGGTAAAATTAGCTTATTTTTATTGCGTAAGTTTCTACTTGTACAGTTTTTAAGTTTCTTGAAACTATCTAAGTTTTTCCTTGTATACATAATATTTTCATAAATGTACTGTGCGGCAACGGTGAGGATATTGGATTCTTTAAAGCATTGACGTAATGACTCTCTAGAACCCATACCATAAATAGAACGTAGGGCTCTCTTTTGTAAAATAAATATAGTATTTACATCGGCAGCTTTACCCCATAGCAGTATGACATATGATATAATGCTATGGAAATAACTAAAATATACAAGTTTTGCCGTCGCCACGTCTGTTAATTGCCTTATCCTTCTAATTGCATAAGCAACAGAACTAAGTCTACTGGCTAATTTTGAAATATTTTTGATATATGGCCCATTGTAACTTCGAGTCCACTGTTATTCCTAAAAAAAAACTGTATCGTTAATAAAGTTTACTATTTCATCATTAAGCAATAGCTGCGTATTTACTTGTCTTACATTAGGAAGCGTTAATTTCATACACTTAGTTTTATTGGAGTTTAACAATAGATTATTACATGTGAACCAATTTAATATAGCAGAGATAGCATAATTTACATCGTCTAATTGATTACATTGGCGACCAATTTTAAACACCAACGAAGTATCATCCGCAAATAACACTATATCTGCAATTTTCTCTACCATGTAGGGAAGGTCATTTATATAAATTAAATTATGTGTATACTGTTACCATAGAGATACCTAATCGCTGTATATCTTTAATATTATATTAATAGAAAAATAATCCCAGGTACGTAAAGGTTAAGCGAGCACAACTTCTGCGATTTAGAAGGTATATAAAGTTTTATAGTTGGTTTCATTATATATCAATTATTATATAAACTAGTAACGGAGGAGGGAGTCCTCTGCGAGACATGAAGATTTGATGTACACATTACGACTAGCGTAATGTTACAGAATAAAGGAGCTGATTTCTGAGTATTTTACCTATTTCCCCGTACTGTTACAGTGTACATAAAACAAGGCGGCGAGGTAGAGAGCCGCGGCGGCGTGGGCGTTTTGGAGTCGTCCTCATCGCCTGTCTCTCCTGCTTCGTCCTACTGGCGCGCACCCGGACTAGAGACTCCCACGCACGCTAGAGTACACAGGTAAATCCAACGACTGCCATGTCTTCAAATGCAAATACCTACGTAGTCGCGATATATGGCATGTATTTTGAATGAGTGTTTTAAAAATTTAAACAAATATTTACACATTGCTATTAAAGACACGCACCCATTAACTGCACTATTTACTTTTTACAGAAGACAATCAACCCCAGACAGTAGAGCGGATATAGTACGCTGCGTAGAATACAAGGACTCCATGCTGAGCCCACATCGGTACGAGGACCGACACGTAGGCACCACCCACGCAGTTTGCGACCTCATACCACGCGTACCCTCGCAGCCCGAGTACATGGCCCGTGTGTGCCTCGAGCTGGGCGTACTCAACACTCCACCACGGGAAGCCCCCCACCTCCTCACCTGCTCCGTCAATTTCGAGCCCTACGAAAACCCCACCAAGGACACGTGCACAATGTGCGTCCAATCCAACCCAGATATATCCAAAATACCCTCTCCACCAATCAAGAGCTGCCTTAAGAAATCCAAGCAGTTTACTTCGAGTACATCCCTCCCGTCCATGGAAATCAAGGACGACAAAATTAAGTCGGACATCGAACAAGTGAACAGAGAGTGGAATAAAGCATACAATTCTCCAGATACGGATAAAGTGCTCCACAAAATAACGAGCGATTTAGACTTTCTACTTAATAGGACTCAGGACGCGAGTAAAAGTGTACTCGACCAAATTGAGGAGGCACCTACTTAGGGATGTGAGGATAGCGTAATTAAGTGATAGAAATTAGCTGAGTAAGCAAAACGAATAACATGGAAACAGGGGTGCAACATGCCAAAGTTAGTTAATAATTGTATATAATTAAGAGCCTACTGTAACAATAAATGTATTAAAACAATTTTGCTGTGAAAACTTTATACAAGATTAAATTAACTCTGTGTGATAATTTATTTCAATTGCGAATCAGTACAAATAGAACAATTTTTAGTATACCTATATTAATGATTGATTTTGCTACCGAAACATAAGGGCAGTTCCAACCTTTAATCTAATTTGAAGATTTGTTTCTACACAATCCAAGTATGGACCATAGTTAGAAGTAAATGCAATTACAATACCCATTACTTTATTGTATGTCCAAACACATTTGGAACTATTACAATGATGTGTGATTCAAGAGTAAGAAGAGAAACTTTATATTTCCAACATCTATTGTCTTCATTAAAATTTGTCTTAATAATAAATCGGCAGCATCATAAACATCATTATAGGTCTATAAATGGGGCAATTATTCATATCTTAGAATATAATTACGTAACCAAAAGTACCTTATTGATTTTATGAAAAAAAATCATAAATCTCCTAAGAGCTGCTTTTTGTTATTATTGTTCTATACTTACTATTTCAAATTATAACAATAACATATGCCACGATCATATTGTAAAAGCCATAAAGTGAATGTAATCTAAAACAAGAACACGAAAATAAATTTAATGGAATATGAAGTATTCTTTCAACTGTACTATTAATTACTTGGAAATTCAGGACTTAGTTACAAACAAGTTGGTTGTTTTTTTCCGTCACATGTACGTTCACATTCATCGTGATGATTCTTTGAAAAATCACAATTATTTACAACTAGGTAGTAAAATTCGTAGATATTAAAAGTAATGTTACGGCCGCTAGTATATTATACATATTTGTAAATAAATCCTTGTAAATATGTTTAAGATTATTCTAAACGAATTATATTTTATGTTATATCGGGTACAATATATTTTTATTTACAAATACATTTTTTACAATTGAATTTTGAATTTTATTTAATTTATTTCCGAAATTTACATTAAAATAGTGGAGTTTATTTATTTATTTATTTATTTATTCATGAACAATGTACATTGTATTTGAATGTTGATACGATGATTGATAAAATTAATAAATTTACATGTTGTCATTTTACAGAATGTCATTCAGTCATTGTTGTCATTAATAACAAAAAAAAACATCATAAATCGTCAACTGAGTACAGGCATTTATCTATTAGTAGTGACTTCAATGTTTTTGTAAAGCAACTCAAACTATTCAATAATTTAAGATCCTTCGGTAACTTATTATAGAGTATCACCGCTTGATTTCTTGGGCAGTGTGTTACTACGTTTAGTGTAGGAATTATTACCTTCTGTATATTCATTCTCCTTGTTATTAAACGTTGTTTCATGTTCTCTTCAGATTCATACAGATGTTTGTTTTTGATTAAGTCTGTCAACAAAACCTGTATATAAAGACTGTGTATTGTAAGAATTTTTAATCTTTTAAAAGTAACAATTTAAAGCCGAGTTGACCAAATACAAAACATTTTTAATAATCATATATTTACTATTGCTCTCTTATGGGCTCTACTAGCTCGTGCAGAGGCTCCTGCTGGTAAGGAATTATTCGTACATTCATCTAACTCCGGACTCTCGATTAGCGTATCCTAATAATCTAAACTTCCATCCGATTTCTCTTCAACTTCTAATTGTTCATCGCGCTTACCAGCAGTAACCTCCGACCGGCCTTCCCCTCCCCTTCAGCGTCACTAGACCTATCTCATTGAATGGTTCTGAACTCGCATGAGATAAAGAATATGGTATCGAGGTGGTACCTCGATCGTATAAAGTTACATTATGTGATGGTACATCACATAATATAACTTTATACGATACCGGTCCAGTAACCACTGAAATCTAACCTTCCGTCCATTTATCTCCCTTTTTGGAGTAATCCCGTGCAAGTATAGTTTCATCCACACAAGGCCGGCTGCTGCGCTTGTCTTGCGCGGCGGCTACAACGGCAGCGGTGTATGGACGCAGGGCATCAAGCCGTCCGCGTCACCTACGCCCGAACAAAGCGACCGCAGGTGAAACACTCGTTATTGCGAGCTCTGTATTTCTGTACATAAATAAAAACCTATATAAGGAGGTCGAAACGCCCTCGCTCTCAAATAATGCAGGTTTGATTACTTTCTTAACTGACTTTACAGTTTTTAGGTTCTCCCTTCTCTTGAGGTCTGTACGGCGCAGAAGTAGTATGTTTTACAATATAAACTAAATTCTTCAGACAAAAAAAGGGGCCATTATCAGTGATCAGCTGTGACGTGAGTCCAAATCTAGAAAATACCGAACGAATCGCATTTATTTTTGTACTAACCGTCGTACTTGAGAATTGGAATTGTTTCAATCCACTTGGAATGTGCATCTAGTATCAAATAACGCTTGCCCGCGCAATCAAAACAATCAGCATGCACCCGCCACCATGGATTCAAAAGAAATTCCCAGGAAAGGAGGGGGGCACGTGCTGGCGCGTCCAGTACTCTCTGACAGACAGTGCACACCCGCGCTACCTGCTCAATATCATTATCTATATTTGGTAATTACGTGCAATATTTTCATTTTATTCATGCCCAAAAAACCCTTCGTGAATTTCTTTCAATATATAATAATAGTAATTTTACTGGGACAACAATTCAATATTTATAGATTATACAATAATCTGTGTATAAATCGTTTTTACGAATAAAATACGGTTTCTCCTCTTTCCAGCTAACCGCCGACCCGCCACCCGAAATTGATATATCCCATATTTCTATTTAATAATAAATTTCGCTTTGTTTCTGTAGCTATAGTGTTCACTTATTTGTTATTTATGTCTTCTTGTATGTAAGTTGTTATCGACGTAATATCGGCTCGTTAGCCATAGCTCCACGTCTTTACTCCGCGGCGCTTGCACAGGGAAATCCCTTCCCTCTTGCGCACGGCGGTCCGTGTACGCTCGGCTCGAGACGATAGATAATAACTGCTAGTGTTTCCACATACACTACAGTAGCGATATCTTTAAAATTAATTGGCACCGTTTCTACTACATAACTAAAATAATGCACCTCAAAGGTGGGACGCCCGCTTAGTAGTGGTGGCAGCTCTGGCAGCTGTTTGAGGGATACCTCTCTTTTCACCAACCCAAAAATTTTTCGAATTTAACTGTCAAACCGATTTATCGTAGGCGCTCTAAAACAGTACGAAGATTGCGAAGGTGAGCGTGACGACTCTTACCTGTGACACAAATGTCATGTAAAAAAACAACCGTGTCTGCAACACTAGATAAAGCGTAAGGCGTCTAGTTATACGCGAAACTCCCTAAGTGTGTAGCAATGGCGGTATAGTGTGACGCCTCATCTAATTAATCAATCAATCACAAAATCAATTTTTGTATATTCTTAACCGATGCTTATATTCGCAAACGATTCCTCTATACGTGGTAGAGGATAAAAATCGCGTTTCAGTTTGGGATTAATTGTAATTTTGTCATCTCTACACAGCCTTAGATCGCCATTACTTTACACCACGAGTACAATTGGGGTTCCAAAATCCGTAAACGCAGAAAATAAATGACCGGTTAACACTCCAACTACTCAGAACTACATTAGTGGGACAGTTCGAATTAGATCTAACGAAGTAACCATTGTCATTCATAGACATGCTGACACAATAAAATACATAAAATAAAATCGGTAAACAATAGCTACGAAATCTACGCAGACCTTATTCAAATGGGACATCATTTCGGATAAAATGCAGAATGACGTCAAGAGGATTCTCGGATTTGCTGCGAATTCAACGGCTACGTATGTGTTAGCTATACCACAGATAAGATAATGTTACATATATATAGTTACATTACTAAAATATCTACACATATTTATCACGAAAATGCAATAGGATGATTTTAGTTCCATTGCTTATTCTCAATAAACCGTGGAACTCAAAACATGCATTCGTATAGTACAATTACATTAACAAACATAATTTACACACGTACCTACATACTGATAGATACTATATAGTTGACCAATCAAAACTATTTTTAATTTATAATGAAGCTTCTTATGCAATTTTCAAAAAATTATTCCTTGCGAATTAGGGATGGTTTATTCTTCCATTGCCTAGTGACGCAGCAACTGATCTATTTCCATTGGGATACTACAACTCCAGTTATATTTTCCTTATAAAATTGAGTTTAACTAAAATAGTGGGCTCTGTAATTATTCATATGTGATCCGAAAATGCAGTGCGCTATTTTACCACAATACTGATAACGATATATATGTATATATATATATTATACTATACATATTCATACTAATAATTTAGACCGGCAATAAATACATAATATTATATAGAAATATACTAAATATTCTATTTTATAGGCCGGTATATAGGTTACAATATTAGACAACGCCTTCTTTTTGCCTTACGTGGTAGTTCGAAGTGATTGATCTGAAATGATTGATCCCATTGAGGATTTTCATATTCAATGCGGTCGATCATCTCATCCTCGCTTTGGACGAGCATCATCGTGTCCAATAACAAATCATATACCTCACGGATGGATGTCTCCGATATGCAGCAATCCAACATTTCCTCCAGCTCATCTTCTGTGGGTGCCCTCCCGATTATCTCCAACTGACGTTGTAACCTGTTCTTGAATGGATCTATGAAGTCGAGTTGCATCCAGTTGTAATCCGTCATTATTGTTACGAAATTATGAGTCAACATGCAATGTTGTATAGTTCTTATCCTGACTTCAGTCCTTAATTTGTTCGAATATTCTTGCACGATATTTTGTTTCATGTGCTTTAATTTGGCTATAATTTCGTTGGCGTTTTTCAAAAGATCCGCTACAAAATATTTTATTTCCTGGCTATTGTTCTCTTCTATCGAATGTGCTAATAAGATGGCCTTGTACTTCTTATTAAACACTGCCAAAATCCCTTGAATCTTTTTTATCATCTCTCTTATCTCTTCCACTTCACTGAAGAAAGCATCCAGGAACCTGCCTTTAACGACATTGACATCTTCAGATTCGTCAACATCTTTCGACGAATCCGTTGACGTATCTATGTCATCAAACTTCACATATCTTTGCATTGCCCGTAACTCGTCTAACCTATCTTTCGTCATCCTTTACAGAAGAACACAGGTAAAATAAATATTATATCTTATTAAAAAGGCTCAATCACTGATCACTAAAAAATACTCTAGGAACGACACCGTATTGAGACTTACTGAATCATCAAGTTTAGGGATGTTACATTCTGCACAAAACAATCGATTTTTCTTAAAATAATCGATTTAATAGAATATTTTTTTCGCCTGTGTTTATTATTTTGGGTCGCCACTAAATAAAAATAATTACCTGTTTTTAATCCTCTTGGTCATATAATAAAAAATAATAAATGTTGTCCATTAATAGATTCACTAAAATATTAAATTAGACCAACAATTGAACTACAGGGCATTCCTAGAAAACACGTTCCGTATGTGTGCGTTCACAATTGTACTAGCCACTGGCATGTAAGCTGTTACAAAAGAAGCCAGGAAGTGTCATTTTCGAGGATACCCTTTGTTTTGAAAATAATATGTTGCAGACAGTGCGTAATTGTTTTTATAGATTAAAAGTGCTATATCATGTACGTAACTTTCTATCTGTAGACCTGTGTAAGGCCCTCTGCGATTCTTTGATATTATCTAAATTCAATTAACCTGACACTATTTATGGACAATGTACAGTGGTCCGTACTAAAAATCTGATACAGAGAGTATAGAATGATTGTGTTAGGTTTTGTTTTTCCATACCATATATATATATATATATATTATAAATCAAAATGGATAGACGGTACAAACTACACTTGGCTATGTTAATATTTGAAATATTCAAACATCAAAAGCCTTTTTACTTAATATATAAACTTCAATTTTCAAGTCGTATGATGGACAGACTTGTCACCAATCGATATATGCCCAATTTAACATCACAGCTTTTCATGGTTTTAAATACTCTGGCAAGAAATGCTAGAATAATGACTCATTCTATCTTGAATTCAGTAACAGTTGGTTCTTTCAAATATAAATTACTTACTCACAATCTTAAAGAAAAAAATCATTGTAGCTGGCAACTCAATACAAAATAAAATGTCCATCTAAAACATATACTAATTACATCATTCATGTACATTATATATTAAAAAAATATTTATTAAATAAACTTAATCTATATCTCCTAATTTACATAATAATTTACCTACATAAAAGATATTAAAAAAATTACTACATAGATTCACGAAATTACTACATAGGTTCACGAAATTGCATTTATCTGTACATTAATTGGCACATCTATTTATAAAATATTCTTAATATTAACGTAAAACGTACGTAAAGTAAAACGTATTCTTTTGTCATCTGTAGATACGTACGCTATCTGCACGTACGCTGTAATGTTACATAATAAAAGAGTTGATTACTGGCCATCTTACCTATTTCTCCTACTGTTACAGTGAATATAAAACAAGGCGCCGAGGTAGAGAGCCGCGGCGGCGTGGGTGTTCTGGAGTCGTCCTCGTCGCCTGTCTCTCCCGCCTCGTCCTACTGGCGCGCACCCGGACAAGAGACTCCCACGCACACTAAAGTGTACAGGTAATTAGGCAAAAGGCAAAAAGGCATTGGCCTGCCATGCCTTCAATGTAAGTTTTTACAGAAAACAATCAACCCCAGACAGTAGAGCGAATATAGTACGCTGCGTAGAATATAAGGACTCCATACGGAGCCCACATCGGTACGAGGACCGGCACGTAGGCACCACCCACGCAGTTTGCGACCTCATACCACGCGTACCCTCGCAGCCCGAGTACATGACACGTGTGTGCCTCGAGCTGGGCGTACTCACCACTCCACCACGGGAAGCCCCCCACCTCCTCACCTGCTCCGTCAATTTCGAGCCCTACGAAAACCCCACCAAGGACACGTGCACAATGTGCGGCCAATCCAACCCGGATATACCCAAAATAACCTCTCCATCGATCAAGAGCTGCCTTAAGAAATCCAAGCAGTTTACTTCGAGTACATCCCTCCCGTCCATGGAAATCAAGGACGACCAAATTAAGTCGGACATCGAACAAGTGAACAAAGAGTGGAATAAAGCGTACGATTCTCCAGATACGGATAAAGTGCTGCAAAATAACGAGCGATTTAGACTTTCTACTTAATAGGACCAAATTGAGGAGGCACTTACTTAGGGATGTGAGGATAGCGTAATTAAATGATAGAAATTAGCTGAATAAGCAAAACGAATAACATGGAAACAGGGGTGCAACATGCCAAAGTTTTTTATAATTGTACATAGTTAAGAGCCTACTGTAACAATAAATGTATTAAAACAATTTTGCTGTGAAAACTTTATACAAGATTAAATTAACTCTGAGTGATAATTTATTTCAATTGCGAATCAGTACAAATAGAACAATTTTAAGTATACCTATATTAATGATTGATTTTAATACCGAAACATAAGGGCGGGTCCAACCTTTAATCTAATTTGAAGATTTGTTTCTACACAATCCAAGTATGAACCATAGTTAAAAGTAAATGCAATTACAATACCCATTACTTTATTGTATGTCCAAACACATTTGGAACTATTACAATGATGTGTGATTAAAGAGTAAGAAGCGAGAAACTTTATAATTCCAAGATCTTTTGTCTTCATTAAAATTTGTCCTAATAATAAATCGGCAGCAACATAAACATCACTATAGATCTATAAATGGGGCTAATTATTCATATCTTAGTATAATTACATAACCAAAAGTACCTTATTGATTTAATGAAAAAAAATCATTGATCTCCCAAGAGCTGCTTCTTGTTATTATTGTTTTATACTTACTATTACAAATTATAACAATAACATATGCCACGGGCATATTGTAAACGCCATAAAGTGAATGTAATCTAAAACAAGAACACGAAAATAAATTTAATGGAATATGAAGTAATCTTTCAACTGTACTATTAATTACTTGGAAATTCAGGACTTAGTTACAAACAAGTTGGTTGTTTTATTGCGTCACATGTACGTTCACATTCATCGTGATGATTCTTTGAAAAATCACAATTATTTACAACTCGGTAGTAAAATTCGTAGATATTAAAAGTAATGTTACGGCCGCTAGTATATTATACATATTTGTAAATAAATCCTTGTAAATATGTTTAAGATTATTCTAAACGAATTATATTTTATGTTATATCGGGTACAATATAATTTTATTTACAAATACATTATTACAATTGAATTTTGAATTTTATTTAATTTATTTCCCAAATTTACATTAAAATAGAAATAGAAATAGAAATAGAAATAATCTTTATTCAAATAAACTCATTACAAGCACTTTTGAATAGTCATATTTTGATTCTACCACTCATTCGGAATGCAGATTCATCACAAGAAGAATGAGCAAGAAACTTGTGTGTTGCTCTTTTTAATAGATGTTTTTTTTTTATATAAATAATTACAGTATAACAAGTAAGAGGCATGCGATAATCAACATAGAAGTCGCTACGCACTCATTATTAATGTAATCAGATAATATTGTCAGTGCTATAGATTTAAATAAAAACATTATTATCGTTAACGAATTCTTCAATTTTATAGTAAGCTTTTTTGCAAAGGAACTGTTTTATTTGACATTTAAATCTTTTTTCTGGCAGATTTATAACAGACTCTGGTATTTTATTGTAAAACCTTACGCAATTGCCATAAAACGAATTACTAACTTTAGCCAAACGACATTTAGGTAAAATCAGTTTGTTATTGTTACGTAAGCTTTTATTAGTGCAATCACTAACTCTTTTGAAACTGTCTATATTCCTTCTGGCATAGATGATATTTTCATAAATGTATTGAGAAATAGTGGAGTAACAATGAAAGGCCGAGTTGTCATATCCCACCACCAAATACAAAAATCACAGATAATGACTTAACTCTAGCAACAATATAGTCTAATAATTAATTCACGTTTTTAATAAACGTGAGTTAATTATTAGACTATTATATACATACTTTTTTTTATAACACAGGGGACAAACGAGGTGAGCCGCATTCACCTGATGGTAAGTGAATACCGCCGCCCATGAGCACCCCCAACATCAGGGGAATTGCAAGTACGTTGTCGACCTTTTAAAAAGGAATAAGCTCTTTTCTTGAAGGTTTCAATATCGTATCGGTTCGGAAATACCATTGCTGGAAGGTGATTCCACAATGTGGTTGTGCGTGGCAAAATGTTTCTAGAAAACCGCACTTTGGAGGACCGCCATTCATCCAGATGATCAGGATGGTATTTTAGTTTCTGACGGGTGGTACGGTGGTGAAACTCAGCAGCTGGTATTAATCCGAACAATTCCTCAGAACACTCTCCGTGATATATGCAGTAGAAAATGCACAGAGGTGCAATATCTCGCCGCAAAGCCAATGGGTCGAGTCTGTCTCATAGACGTTACATTATCAATGATTCTGGCTGCTCGGTTCTGAATGCGGTCAAGTAGAAGTAGCTGGTATTGTGGTGCTTCCGCCCAGAGATGAGAACAATATTCCATATGCGGCCGGATTTGCTCCTTGTATAATTGCAAGCGATGGGCCGCCGTGAAATACCGTCTCACTCTGCTGAGCACACCAAGCTTTTTTGAGGCTATTTTAGCCTAGTTAGCTGGATCTGAGCGATCTCCCTTCCTAGGGATCGGATGAACCAAAGCCGTCTTCCAAAGTTTCGGGACTACACCTGTAGAGTAGCAGTACCGGAAAAGACGCGTTAGTACCGGAGTCAACTCAGGAGCACGTCCTGAGCACAATAGCAGGAATACCGTCAGGCCCACTCGACTTTTGGATATCTAGGGAGAAAAGAGACTTACATACCAGCTTTTGGGTAAATTTTACCTCTGGCATAAAAATGTCACACCGCGAGATGACCAGCGGTGATTGCTCCCTATCGTCCAGTGCCTATCGGTAACTCTCGATTACCGCATCCTAATAATCTTAAATTCCATTTGACTTTTTACTTACTAACTTCTAACTTCCACTCTTATTTTATTTGCGTTTTTGTCTTGTGTATTCTTCGGGAATTGTCAAGAAATTTAGCAGAATACTATTTAAAGGAAAAAATAGACAAAGTTTTCATTATTCCGAGAAAATCTCATGACGCCCATATAATGAAAAATAAAATTAGAATCGCGCTTTGAAGTGTTTCAAGAGCGATTTCAAGAAAAAATGGACAGTTGCAAGTTGTATAGAAAAACCTTTCTTGAAAACGAATGTATCTGAATAATGAAAAATGATTTAGTGATGGGATCATTTCGATCATAATCGATTAATATTTGATATAGATTGTAGCAAGTTCTTAAAAATTTATAAGATATATCTGAATATTGAATAGTTTACCGGTAGCTAAAGGTTGGCATTATTGGTGTATCCTATTAAAAGTTTTTTTTTATCTTAGTCGTCGTAATCGTTACACCTGTTCTTTTGATTCAGTTTTTAGTGCTCCTTTATCTCTCATTATTTCTATAAACAATGTAACTGAAATATATAATAATATATAAAATAAAAATGTTACAGTAGGTGTCAATGTAAAGGTCAATAAAGTAGATATAACTGTCCATAAAATATATTGCGAGTGTTTGTATTAAATATCAGTGCCTTGTGATCGTTCATGTTACTTCCATATTTATATGTTTGCAGCTATTTGTGTATTTAAATTATATCAACGAAGCATAAGGTTCATTTTTCAACAAACTTTTATTATGGTATATTATATATTTATATACATAGCAAAGTTACTTTCTATATTCTATATCTATTTAAAAATCGCTGTGTATAACATAATAACGTATCATATATACGTTTATTATTATAAAAAATACAAATATTATTGAACTTATATGTACAGTACAGCTTCTTAGCGGTTTACAGGTTGGTTTGGAATCAATAAATATATCTACACACAAGAAATACATGGGCATTGAGAACTGCCTCTAATATTTAAATCCGTTTTATTAGACAAGATATCATGTTGTTTTAGCATACTTTTTAATATATATCATGATTATACATGACATTACATGTTACATGCCTAAAATCTCAGAGACTTGATAGAGTTGGGGGGTATGTTTATACACAGCGAATTTTAATTAACACATAATATTTATTACAGCTAATATTTTTAATAGCAGCCGGAGTTCACACCCCCTCCTATGGTGCCGCGCAGCCGTCAAATAGAGGAAGACGGCGGCGGCACCCAAAGGGAAGTTGGGGTTCCGTCGATCACGGCGGAAGAGTTCTCCGCGGCCGTGGACAAGCTCCGGGGCAAGAAAACTGCCCCAGGGCCAGATGGTGTTCCCGGCCGGACTCTGTATTTGGCCCTTGGTGCCCCAGTCGGTCCCCAAGACTCCTAAGCTTCTTCGATGAGTGCATGTAGTCGGGGCGATTTCCCAAGAAGTGGAAGACGGGCAGAGTAGTCCTGCTCCGCAAGGAGGGGCGCCCTGCGGATTCCATATCCCCCTCGGCGTTCCGCCTGATAGTCCTTCTTGACGAGGTCGCCAAACTATTCGAGAGGATCATAGTACGCCGCCTCGTCAAGCACCTGGTCCGGGTGGGTCCCGACCTATCTATCGACGAAGTAGTCTCCCGGGGAGGGGTGTTGTTGGCGGTGTCTCTCGACATCAAAAATGCTCTCAACACCCTTCCCTTTGAGTGTGTTAGGGAGGCACTCAAATTCCACCAAGTGCCTCCCTACCTTCGTGAGGTGATCGGGGCATACTTCCAGGACAGGAAAGTGATGTATATCGGGCGGAACGGCGCGGTGATTGAGAGGGAGATGCAACGCGGTGTTCCACAGGGATCGGTTCTGGGTCCGGTCCTGTGGAACATCGGGTATGACTGGAATCTGCGGGGCACCTTGCTCGACGGGACCAGTCTGCTATGCGGACGACACGCTGGTAACGTCCCGCGGGCGGGACTACAGGGAGGCTGCCCGTTTCGCTACTGACAGTGTGGCACTTGTTGTCGGCAGGATTAGGAGGTTAGGGCTCCAAGTGGCGCTCGAGAAGTCGGAGGTCCTTTGTTTCCATGGACCCCGACGAGCGCCGCCACCAGGAGCCCATATCGTGGTCAGCGGTCATAGGCTCGAAGTCAAGCCACATATTAGATATTTAGGGCTTGACCTTGATAGTCGCTGGGGTTTCCGGTTCCACTTCAAGAACCTGACTCCTCGTCTAATGGCGGCGGTCGGCGCTTTAAGCTGGCTGCTGCCTAACATCGGGGGGCCGGGGGATAATTGTCGCCGCCTCTACATGGGTGTGGTACAATCGATGGCCCTATACGGGGCCCCTATATGGTATGGGGCCCTGTCCAGGGGGAATATGGCCTTGCTCCTGCGTCCGCAGCGAGCAATGGCCATAAGGGTCATCAGAGGGTACCGCACCGTTTCGAGTGAGGCGGCGTGCTTGCTCGCGGGCTCCCCACCTTGGGATCTCGTAGCGGATTCCCGCGCGTCCTTGTACAAGTGGCGCGCGGACGAAAGGGCCCAAGGAAGGGAGCCCTCTGGAGTGGAACTAGGGGAACGGAAATCCCACCTCCGACGTGCCTTCATGGAGAAGTGGGAAGAAAGGCTGGCCAACCCTACGGCCGGTCTGAGGACCGTCGAGGCTGTCCGTCCAGTTCTCAAAGAATGGATGGGCAGGCGACGATGGCCGCTGACTTATCGACTTACGCAGGTGCTGTCCGGACATGGGTGTTTCGGGCGGTACCTGTGTAACATCGCACGGAGGGAGCCGACAACAATGTGCCACCAGTGCGGATGCGACCAAGATACGGCGCAGCACGTTCTGGAGGAGTGCTCCTCTCGCTGCCGAATTTAATGGTTAGGGGTCGTGGCTGGCAGTGCTCACCTTCTGCGAAGAAGTTATTTCGCAGAAGGAAGCGGCGGAGAGGGACCGCGAGTACGATCCTTTCGCCCCAATGATCCGCCGGAGGACCAGGCGCAGACGTCGGGACGAGCCCAACTCCGTCCCGAGTCTACCCCCCACGGGGGCCGGGGTGCATGCCTTGAGGGAGGCACCACCCCACAACCAGGTCCCTGGAGGCGCGCGCGTGTACCCACGAGCCTCTACGAGAAGGTAGGGTGCAAGCTATAGCACCCTAACCACAGAGAGGGGGCCTGTCCTACAACATCTACAGGATAGGCCAAGCCGCCGAAGTCTGGGTTGAGTGCAAAGAGCGAACCCCGGACTTCGGCCCGCGGCACCTCGAGGTATACCGTGTGGTTTTTTAGTGGGTACGAGTCCCACACACCACCTCGCCATCCCTCCGGCGGGGTGACGGTCTTGTTGAAGATTTTTCCACACGATAAAAAAAAAAGGTAACAGGTAACAAAGGTGTAAAAAATTTCATATCATATTGGTAATCTTATAGATTTCGCTCTTATAGATGTGCTCTTTGCGAATTTCAACTTTGCCACCTTGTATCTTTGCCGCTCGCGACTCCATATTGAAAAAATGTCGTCTAAAAATGTTTTTTGACAATATCTCCTTTCCAACTCATTTTACGATCAAAATAGCTGTATAATAAATTAAACTAGAGAATATTTATGTAATAACCTTTTTTCTTATAAAATTAATAGTTATAGCACACGGGCGCCGCAATCTACTTCAACATTCGGTAGCGCGTTTTTTTATCGTGGTATCCCCAGTAGACCTAATCCACATGCACTATTCCAAAAATTTAACAATGTTTCGGGAGCTGGGTGCTCAAATGTGGTGACAGGAATTAGCCCATTCTTGCTTGTTTTCCATCCCCATTGGTCTGCATTTAGTTAATTCCCATACCACTGCTGAACTTGGTCATAGGTTCGGAATGAATGTTGTCTTGTCTGTGCTTGCTGCCTCTGTTGGTAATAGCGATGCAATATTAAATTTATTTTTGTATGCTGATTTTGTGAAACTTGCATATCTATAGAATAGAATAAGAATAGAAAATCATTTATTCAAATAAACTTACATTGAAGCACTTTTGAATAGTCATTACATTTTTTTAATCTACCGCTCGAACGGAAAGCTGTCTCATCACAAGAAGAACGGGCAAGAAACTTGCGTGTTGCTCTTTTAAATAATTTTATTATTACTTTACATTTTTAAGTTTAAGTGTGTGAATACAAACCACCAATTAGCACTAATTCAATTAAATACTCAAATAGAAAAAATATTGAATATACATATAACCAACTGGTTAAATAATTAATAAGAGGAAATCAGTCATAGTGATTAGAGCAGACCAGTCCCTACAAGCAGCACCCGTTCACGAGTATGACGGATGAGCCAACCATCACTGCGCTCGACTATATTTTAGGGAGCCCAATGACCCGACCCACCACGCCCGCCACAAGTCTGGACATTTTAGTGAGTATGACTACTCAAAACACAAGACCACGTCAAAGTTAGTTACTACTTAGATGTTTAAAGACATATTTTTCATAGTTTTCACATCACTGTAACTGTATATTTCAAGAAAGAAGCGGATAATGCGCAAATGATTATAAAAATATTTTACTCTACGTTGAGAAATCGGCTTGCTATGAATTGTAGGATTCAAACGTACGCTAAAACTATTGATTTGACAAAAAAAAAGGTTATTACATAAATTATAGCAAATTTTCTTGTTGAATTTATTATATAACTATTTTGATCGTAAAACGCCATTTTACCAATAGGCGGCGCGAGCGGCAAAAATAGGAAAATACGACAAAAATACGACGTGGCAATGTTGAAATTCGCAAAGAGCACATTGTCTATGTCAAAATCTATAAAATTACCAATTTTATAGATTTATATAGATTACCTAACTCCCGGGAAAACTTTCCAGGTAACCTCTTTTTTTAGCACCAAATGACTGTACTAATAGGACAATTACATTCACAAACATAATTTACACACGTACCTACATACTGATAGATACTAAATGTTATAGTTGACCAATCAAAACTATTTTAAATTTATAATGAAGCTTATTGTATAATTTTCAAACAATTCCTTGCGGATTAGGGTTGATTTATTTAGTTTTCCATTACCTATTGACGCAGCAACTGATCTATTTCCATTAGAATACTACGACTCCAGTTATATTTTCCTTATAAAATTGAGGTTATACTAAAATAGTGGCTCTGTGGTAATTATTGATCCGAAAATGCAGTGCGCTATTTTACCACGATACTGATAACGAGTTATATATATAATAATTTGGACAGGCAATAAAACGAACAATATTATACAGAAATTGTTAATATCCTGAATAATGTTACATAAGTAAATTGATAGAAATATAATTGGTACAAAAATATAATTGATAATATAAAACAAACATAAATTTATAACGTTTTTGAAAAGGCCGGTGTAGGTATAGGTACTGTTACAATATTAGACAACACCATCTTTTTGTCTTACGTACTTGTTTCAAATGTATTTTCTGAAATGATTGATCCCATTGAGTAACGGGCACGCACTTAATGGGCATCTCATCCACGCTTAAGACGAGCATCATCATGTCATACAACATATTAGAACATAGCTTCTTGGTTGATGGGTCCGATTTGTAGCCATTAAACATTTCCTCCAGCTCTTCTGTGACTGCCCTCCCGACTTTCTCTAGCTGAAATTGTAACATGTCCTCGAACCGATCCATGAGGTCTAACTGCATCCGGCTATACTCCCTCATTACTTCCTTGAAATTACGGATCAACAAGCAATATTGTTGAATTCTTATCCTGACTTCAGCCAATAATTTGTTCGAATATTCTTGCTCGATATTTAGTTTCATGTGTTTCAATTTGCTTATGATTTCGTTGGCATTTTTTAAAAACTTCGCTCTAAAGTCTTCGAGTTCCTGTATATTGTTCTTTTGTATAGAGGATGACAATAAAATGGCCATGTATTTCTTATTAAACTTTTCCAAAATACCTTGAATCTTTTTTATAATCTCTCCTATCTCTTCCACCTCACCGAAGAATGCATCCATGAACGTGCCTTTAAGGACATTGACAACGCCGGATTCGTCACCAGTTTCTTCATCAGACCTACCCTTCGTCATTCTTTACCGAAGAACACAGGCAAAATAAATGTTATATTTTATTAAAAATGCTCAATCACTGATTTTATCTATCAAACGTTACTAAAGGAACGACACTGTATTTATACTTACTGAATCGTCAAGTTTAGGTGTTACATTCTGCACAAAACAATCGAGTTTTCTTAAAATAATCGATGTAATACAATAATATTTTTTTTGTCTGTGTGTATTATTTTGGATCATCACATTATTTATCCTCTAGGTCATATAATAAGAAATAATAAATTTAATCATTAATAGATTCATTAGAATATTAAATTAGATCAACAATTGAACTACAGAGTATTCCTAGAAAACACGTACCGTATGTGTGCGCTCACAATTGTACTGGCCACTGGCATGTAAGCTGTTACGAACGAAGGAAGCCAGGAAGCGACTTAAAAGAATAACTCTCTTTTATTATTGATCTAATAGCAGTAGACAGTGTTAAATAAAACTCTAATACAACATGTAATAAAATATTGTTTATTAAAGCTCAACTAGCATAAATGAATTGGGGTGACATATAAAAATACAAGCATACACACTAACTGGCAACTTAAAAAACAAACTTGATCAATACAATATAAATTATTTACATAATAATAGCTAACTATGTGTAAATATATACAGGAATTAATTTAGAACATATTGTACAACAATCAAAATTGTGCCCACAAACATTTTCCTAGTTAAATCCCTTTCGCAACTAACTGCAGAAAAAATTAGAATGAAAACAGTTTCCAACAGTAATAAATAATAGCTTGACAAAGCACTGTAATATAATAAAAATAGCACCAAAATATACTTAACAAAATATTAGCTGTAATAAATATTATGTGTTAATTAAAATTCGCTGTGTATAAACATACCCCCCAACTCTATCAAGTCTCTGAGATTTTAGGCATGTAACATGTAATAATCATGATATATATTAAAAAGTTTGCTAAAACAACATGATATCTTGTCTAATAAAACGGATTTAAATATTAGAGGCAGTTCTCAATGCCCATGTATTTCTTGTGTGTAGATATATTTATTGATTCCAAACCAACCTGTAAACCGCTAAGAAGCTGTACTGTACATATAAGTTCAATAATATTTGTATTTTTTATAATAATAAACGTATATATGATACGTTATTATGTTATACACAGCGATTTTTAAATATATATAGAATATAGAAAGTAACTTTGCTATGTATATAAATATATAATATACTATAATAAAAGTTTGTTGAAAAATGAACCTTATGCTTCGTTGATATAATTTAAATACACAAATAGCTGCAAACATATAAATATGGAAGTAACATGAACGATCACAAGGCACTGATATTTAATACAAACACTCGCAATATATTTTATGGACAGTTATATCTACTTTATTGACTTTTACATTGACACCTACTGTAACATTTTTATTTTATATATTATTATATATTTCAGTTACACTGTTTATAAAAATAATGAGAGATAAAGGAGCACTAAAAACTGAATCAAAAGAACAGGTGTAACGATTACGACGACTAAGATAAAAAAAAACTTTTAATAGGATACACCAATAATGCCAACCTTTAGCTACCGGTAAACTATTCAATATTCAGATATATCTTATAAATTTTTAAGAACTTGCTACAATCTATATCAAATTTTAATCGATTATGATCGAAATGATCCCATCACTAAATCATTTTTTTTTTAATTATTTTATGTGGGACTGCAGATTTTTCGTCACACATGAGCTAGTTCCGCTCGTCATTCGCATGAGTGCAAGATTTATAAGGTTGTCTTTTTTTAAATAAAATAACGCTCCTCTTTTTTATAATATAGTTTCTTTTGCTTTTAAAGATGCTATCTATAGTGACAGACTTTTATATTATGTATGTTTTGAGTTTATCCACTACAATCTATAAATTTATTCTTTGTTTATATTAGATCAGGTAACGTTATTACTTTTTCATATAATTGATATGCAAACAACGATGTTTGCAGATTGAATTTGTGATATATTAAAGTATCTAAATTACATGTCAGTTCTCGGCCTAATTGCCTACATTCCAAATTGATGGAGTTGACTTATCAGAAGAGTGTGTATAAGACGTACAAGAGTAGATTTTGATTTGATGCAGATTATAACATTGGCAACAAAATTGGTAATATCAACAAATGTCATTTGTTGCGACTTCGATACTTTAAACCATTTTATACATCTTACCCAATCCATATTTAGACTAAGATGTTAAAGCCTCTGATTAAAAATGTTAATATTGGACTATTCATGATTACATTATACACATTAACTAATACTAATTTTTAAGAATATACAAGATAGATATTAAGTTGAAAGATACCAAAGTTTATTTTAATTTTCCAAGGATTTGGTCTTATTGGCAAGTGTGCTAAAAGGAGGAAGGCAGCTTAATAAAATTGGTGTTATATTTAATTAAAAACTAATATAAATTAAAAACAAAGAAAAATATCTATCTATGTTCGATATAGGTTCCTAGGTTTCATAATTTTTAACCTCTTCAGAAGGTAGTGTTATTCGCAAATTTTTGGGACTATACTGTGTATACTCTTTAACATTTATTAGCAACATCAGACATTGAAGTTGTTATAGAGAAATTATAAAAGTTTAAGATTCTATTAGCATTCGATATCTATTCAACTGAATATCTATAAAACACTGATACATGATGTATATTTAATAGTTATATTAATACTAAATACATGTTAATATATAAATACATAGTACATGTATGTTATATTAACGGACATTATACATAAATGTATCTACAAATTATGTTTTGTTACAACATAACAGGACTAGAGTCGCTTGTGATATATAACAATAAATCCGTGCACAAAATAACTCAACAATTAAATAATATATATAATTAATAAAATTTAGAACAATATTTACTATTTATTATACATGCATTTTTTTCGCAGAAAGAGGTCGTGCTACATAAATACAGCGTAACTATCTATCACGTTATGTTATCCTTTAAAAAAAATTTGATATTTCGAGGCGTTTTTTAGTAATGTTTAATTAGAAAAATAATTCGTTGGACATGTTTCTCATACCAACATGCATTAAAATTGTCCAGATTTCTAGAAATATTTTTTTTTTAATTAAGGAATTGTTATAGACTATTAAATACAGTGTTTGGTGAAACATGATTTTGAAAATATTTTTTATATAATGTTAAAAGAAATATAATAATGAAAAATAGCAGAATTCGACGGGAGGTAATGACCTCAAGCCTCTTAACTTGAGACCCGTGCGGAACACACCCTTCCCTCCAGATCTTGCTGTACCCCACTCACATCCAACATAGGAACCTGTCTACAAACGTCACGTTACTGCCCATAATCGGTAGGATTCACTCATTTGGCCTGAATTTTACTGAACTTGTCAATTAGGCCCACTGTAGATAGTGTAGATCGTAAACATACCAAATAGTATTCAAGAAACTTAAGAATATTTATTCTTTCCAAGACTAAATCTATACGCAACAAAGAGGTATGCTCTTCGTGACAAGAAAAGAGTATACGCTCTAAAGATAATTATGCTCTTAACATGATTAACTAACCTTGAAAGTAAAAAAGTAGTACAAGAAAGAATGTCCTCGTACAAAAGACAAATTTTGTAATTGACATGATTGTCAATTACGAAATTTGTCTTTTGTACGAGGACAGATGAGGAGGAGAGAAGGAGGACTGAGAGGAGGGATGATTCCCTCAGTTTGGTAAAATTTCGCGTTGAAAGCGGCTTATTCGTAGTACCAACAAATTAATTGTATGCCAAATCGTGATGTATGTAACAGATTCCTAAAATAGAAGGGCCTCTAGACAGAATCGCATTATCGCACGACCAAAAACCAAAGACTATTCGAAATGTCTTTTACGGGCTCATTCTTTTATGTTTACCATTATTACTCGTTTTTCCTTACCTTATCCGAGCTGAATCCCAGGTATTTTTTTTTTAATTTTAAATATAGAATAAACATAATTTTTACTACTGCTTCATGAGTCGTTTACAAATAACGAATGTGATAAATTTAAGTCCTTATACAGATATATGAAATTACAGCAGCAGAAAACGGTCAGATTTATAATATTCAGATATGAGCACTATTTATATACTAATTTTGACGAAAATAAAAAACCAGTTAATTGGAATATAAACAAAATGGATTCTTTACTATATAAAAAAATGTGACTGTTAAGTATTTAGTAAATAATTATTATTATTATTCATTACCGGTATTAAAAAATCTATAATGTCAATAGGACATTATTTATAAGCAATTATATAATTATAAGAGCAATTACATAGTTCATAACATCTCTTGATCAATAAATGTTATAGAAAACATAATTCATATACAATAATAATATATACAGGTCACATTTATATTACAAAACTTTTGTATTCTTCAATTAACTTAACAATTACTATTGATACAACACCAATACCGTACATCGGAATTAAAAATCATACCAACAATGTACACTAGGTTATCAAAACAGATAACTTCATATATCTGAACAGGCCTTAATTTTCAGTAAAGAACCCAATTAACTTGGAGGTCGTTTTAATCCGCTATTGTAACAAGCGACGCTATGTATACAATTTAACACATTTACTATCTAATATCACCATGTGGCTCACATATACACCATGTACTTGATTATATCAGTTCTTTGCCTCGACGTCCGCACTGCGAACGCGTGCGATGACTCCGGGCGCTGTGACGTCACAGGGCAGGACCATCGCGCTCACTGGAACCGCGCATATCTGAAAAATTACAAAGAGTACTTGTAGAGATAAGACCGCTTATTGATGTGTTCAAAGCTTATAATAAACCGTATCATATGACATATCTAACTATTATTACAAACGCGAAAGTTTGTTAGTGTGGATGTATGGATGTTTGTTACACTTTCACGCAAAAACTACGGAATGGATTTTAATGAAATTTTACAGTAATATAACTTATACATCAAAATAATACATAGGCTAAATTTCATGCGGGTAAAACCGCAGGCACAGTTAGTTATATATAAAAATGAAATGACGTTTATTAGTCTCACTAAAATTTGAGAACAGATCTCGGCTGAACCGATTTGGCTGATTTTTGTTTTGAAATATTTAGGGAATAAAAGGTGTAAAATATGAACGAAATACGTGAAAAATAATAAGACCAAATTTATTATCTCATACAAACAATTCGTACCTGTCAAACATTTGACACATTTAATTCTAAGGCGGAACAAGTTCGCCGTAGTAGTACGGTATAAAATTTCGACGCACATTTGTCTCATTTTCGACGTATTTTTTACAAAGTCTACCACGATGGAATTATTTCATTATTGCATCATTATTCTCCCCCTCCCCCGTCTGTTTTATTGGTGGCCTCGATCGTAATATACCCGCTATTACTTCGAGAAAATGATGTTTAACGACAGACGTGTTTACATTTTATATTAGCTGTCATATGATATTTGGGTTCACACGAAAAATACGACACATTACTAATTACCCATCCATTTGTGTTATATACATCATCATACATCAAATTGAAGCAGTACAGATATTCCATCATTCAGACATTCCATCATCGCTAAAAAAATATATAAGAAATACCTTGATATAAACACAAATTGCTACTTTAATAGTTTAAGTTTAAAGTCGATTTTCCAAAATTCGTCATTTTTGAGTTAATACAGTTTTGTATTAACGCGCGCTATATCAGGCTAAACACTATTATAACATAGGACCACAGATTAATATAACCTTAACACGTGAGTAAACAGTGTGGTATTTGAAGCGGAAATGACGTTCAAACGGTGATGTCAATTAAAAATACTGATATCAGGCGAAATATTCTTAAATATTGACTAATTATTAAGTACCACTAACAAGAAACCCAACGTACGATAGCGAATTAGTGTCAACACAATCTATTAAATTAATTTTATATCGCTGTGTCATTAGTCATCATGGTTATGGTTTAGACCAGTGTTTCTCAACGTGGGGCCCACGCCCCATTAGAGGGCTATTCGAAATTGAACTCGACACAAATAACTCTTTCGCTCAGGGCCCTAAAAACAATAATTGTTTTATTACTAACTGAAAATAATAAATGAATACAGAAAAATCTTTATTATAATTATTTGTAATTAGAATTTCAGTTTTACATTATACCTTTTGAAGCATTACTTCCAGTGTTTCCGTGTAATATTAATAATCACTTTCAGTGTAAAACCTATCATTTAAATTTTTAAACTGAACAATGCAATGTTTTAATATTAAAAATTATGTATATTATATAGGCGGGCCATAAGAATTTTAAAAAGGCTAATGATGGGTATCTCTTTAAAAAGATTGGGAAACACTGGTTCAGACGGTGACAATTTAGAGCACCAATATCTAGACGCCAGCGGTGACATGAAAAGATTAACAATTTTTTGGGGCATTTTATTGCTATACTTGTTTTGTGCCAATGTATTTTATGAAGATCTAGCATCTTCATAAAATTCATTGGCACAAAACAAGTGCTAGAAAATCTAGCATCTTCATAAAATTCATTGGCACAAAACAAGCTCCGCAACATCGTCCATGAGGAATAATTTTTATTTATTATACTTGTTTTGTGCCAATGTATTTTATGAAGATCTAGCATCTTCATAAAATTCATTGGCACAAAACAAGCTCCGCAACATAGTCCATGTGGAACTTAACTGGATGTTTAATTAAATACAATTTTTAAAAAAGGTAGCTTAAATTACTCCTGAAAATGTTATACATTAGCTATCTGCAAGTGAAAGTCCTGTTAAAATCGGTCCAGCCGTCGTCTAGATAACTTTTTTATCACATCTTCAACGAACAATCTGCAGACAATACTGGGTAATATTGGTATAAGTCCGATTCCATTTTTGAATTGTGTATCTCAGAATTTCATAGTCAAAGTGAAAGATACGTAGTATTCCGGAATATATTAAAAAAATAAAATACTCTCCGGCTTCACATGGATGTATTTTTTTTCTCCTCCATCTTTGGCTTTGCCTTCGCATTTAGCCAATATCAAAGTTAGGGAAATATACACAGAAATATACGGAATAGAACGGAATTTTGTAGGATAAAGGATTTTATTTATAGAAAATATCTTTTATTAAAATAATTAAATAAAATACTGGCCACTAAAAACTAAAAATCAATATAACCTTTCTTTGGACTTTCTTACATTAAACTTCATATTTGTACACCAAATGGTTGATAAAACAATTATCGCCATTAAGACACATCATATGGCTAACTAAACCATCATCAGCAGCTGATATATTATCAATTAACAATATTGTTTATAAACATAATGAACGCGGTATTCTTTCATGATTTAACGCAAGACGGCAAGAATGATCACCAATGTGTTGATGCCATAAAAAAATGTAGAACTATATATATACTAGCTGACCCGCGCAACTTCGTCTGCATTACACTATATTTCGCACAATTTACATAATATCTTTTAAAATAATAGCCCATGTGCTATTCTTATGTTAAAGCTACAGTACTGTAAAGTTTCATTAAAATCCGTTCAGTAGTTTTTGCGTGAAAAAGTAACAAACATCCATACTCACAAACTTTGACGTTTATAATATTACTAAGATATACGCATCAATCTATATGTTTTTTATTACCTTTATTTATTCGACGGAAAACTTCTATTAATTAAAGAGTAACAACAAACGGATTGACCCTTGACGCTGTGATTTCAAAGTCCGTTCGTAGAGTTCGGGTAGAAAACCGGCCGAGACTGAGCGATTGACTCAAACTCAGTCGGGTTCATACCCTATTGTACGAGAAATGATATTCATGTCTACCTGTACAAAAAGTTTAGTTATCGATTTCCGCTCGCCATCGATAGGGAATTCATCCACACACGCTCGAAGCTAAGTGGTCTTAAGGAAGTTCATTCCACAATCTAAGTGTAAAGGTAAGGTTCTCTCACGAGACTACAGCATGGGGTTTTTACGATAACCATTTACCAACCATTTGCTAGTTTACCTCCGTAGTAGTATAAAAAGAAAATGATGCTGACCTGCGCTGCCTCGGCCGCTACAACTGAAACAGATCGTCGTGTGCCCTTTCGAGGCGCTTGAGCGAGTTGTCGACGCGGCGGCCTTGGGTTAGCACCGACGATGGCGGCGGTAGAGGCGGCGGTATCACCTCGTTATACGACGTAGACGCACCGAGGGAGGCCGACTGCCGGAGCCTCGCGGTCGGACGATGCCTGACATAGTCTCCCTCGAGGTCTTTTACAAATCTGTAAGATGAAACATGTACACTTAATTGAAGAATCAACATGGCTTCATTCTTTAACTTAGATAATTTGTTAGTCTTGAGGCCTTGTTGTTTACTGCTCTGACTTGGATCAACAAAGGTCAAGAGTTCGAATCTAGCTGACACTAAAAACCACTCAATGTTTTTAGTGTCAGCTCTATTACTGATCCAAATTTCTATTATTGAAATACTGGTATCAAACCAAATTAATCCGAACCCAAATCCGAAATTAAACAGTACATTAAACAGTAGGATCTCTGCCACGTTGTATTAAAATATAACTGGAGAAATATTAAATATAAATGATATCGGTTCATGTATTCACCACATATGCAGTTGACAATTTCTCATCTGGTATAACACTCTACTTTCCAGTACGCCTAGCTACTTTAGGTAAGAATATGCAAGAAACTCAACAATCGCATTTATTTTGTTTTTTATTTGCTACCCGAGACTTCCAAATTCTCGTCATATTAGTCTACATATTTATCAGCGATTGAATGATAAAATTCACAAACTATCACATCTACAATATTCATTATGGTAGTATACAGATAAGCAATAATTTGTATGCGTACTATAGATATATATTATTACATATCATGGCTCGGGAACATGCCATATGTTCAGATCATTATCATCTGAAATTGTTTCTGTGATATAAACGAAAATTGCCACTTACAGAGAACTGGCTGTACATAAAGTACGAGCTCGTGAAAAGAACTAAGTAACATGTCATTAGACTAAACCAAATAAAAAAATACTACTACTGTATGTTTCTAAAGCACGTTAGACTATATGTATTATATTTCAGTATGTAGTTTTTCATCCTGAATTCAAGTAAAACAAATCTTACTACTGTCATTCATAATATTAAAAACGAGCTGCCCGTCCTAGCTATGCATGGGTATATACTTTTATTTCTCACATATGAAATAAAAATTATTAACCACATAGGTACCCATCGAGAGCCATTCCGAAGTTCCATAAAATTAATAAACATAAATAAATTATTTATTTTCATATAATTTCTCTGCATACTATATTATAAGTGATATTGTAATAACTACTTTATAAATAGCATTAATATTCCTACCTATACACGCGCTTATAAAAGGAAATACAGGACATAAAACAGCCCACATATTTTTAGCTGGATCTCATAAGTATCGTACCAATTGGCTATTCAAGACTTCCGTCACAGTCTTTCATTGCAATCACCGCTTTATTACAATCACATAAAGTGTCATTTGCAGTAGGAAAATGTGGGAAAACAATTGTGTCAACGTGATGATGTAGTGAAAACAAAAGTGGTCTAATAACACGTTATTATAATACTTTCTGTATGCTATGATGGATTTTTCCAACCATCATTTTTGTTAAATAGTAAGAAGCTATTTTGTCTTTATGGTATCATGCAGTCTCCCGGAGTATAAATAGATTTGTTGATAATAGGTATTATCTAAAGGTTAGACAATACAAATACAAGAGAAAGTTTTCAAAATTTGTAAGATATTAAAAACAAACGTGTTTGTTAGTGTTTATGTCACTCTTCCATTTCTAGATTAGAAGGGTCGAAGAAACTACTGTTGATAAACTCTGTCTACATATAAAGTTGAATACTACATTAAATTTACTGATTAATTTTAACAACCAACAAGTATCTTACATTGCTTTTTTCTTAGTGCAAAAATCAGATGGCGGATGAAATAGTTGAGATTTTTTACAAGGTCCACCTCGGTAGATAAAATGAGAATGTATTCTGTAGTCCCTTTCAGGGACTAATTTCGTACCTATTACTTTCAAGAAAACCAAAACTGTATCGTATTCCGTATGCTGTTATAGTTTGCGTGTTATAGTATGGTTCAGGTGACGCCCAAATTACTAATAGCAAATGCATTTATAGTATTGTATATAATAATATGTCATTTTACAAGAGCCCAAAAACATTTGTAGTGCGTATTCTATGTATGATTGTAGATGATTATAAGGGCAGAGGAAGGCCAAAAAAGAGATGGATGGATTGTGTGAAAGATGATATGGTAAGAAAGGGAGCAAATAACAAGATGACTGTCAACAGAGATGAATGGAAGAGAAAAACATATTACGCCGACCCCAATAAATGGAATAAGGATGAAGCAGATGACGAATCTGCGTACTCTTAATCTATAAATGTATCAACATGTAGTTCTCTTACAGAAAAATGTACTAAAACATTGGTTCATCTGCACCAACCTACAACAATGTGGACTAATGCATCTTCTAATTGGAAATAGGAATTGTATTCGAAAAAGTTAAAAATTTCGGTGCTAATATTTAACAATACAGTTTCATGAAATTTTACATTATTACACTAAGTAAAAATCTCATTGACACTAATAAAGTGAGCTTTCACAAAAAATAAAAGTAAGATAACATCTAATGTCGAAATTCAAATAACTATGCTGAAAAGAGAACGAAATTCGGTCAGCGGCTTCTATGTTATTGATAACAATATTATGTTGATGTAAACGGGGTCATTGACCTCGATACGCTTGTGTACACTGGCCATTAAGCGTCACATGAGTCATGACATTTAACACGGCCACATATAGAAAAGTTAAGAAACACTTTCTGTTATTTTTTTGACAAGTATGAAAAATCAAGGCTAATAAAGCAATACTTTCATGCATCCAACGAAAAAACATAAATATTCAAATGAATTCATGTTACACAAATGTATATTACGTTGATTTAACAATATCAATATGTCAATGACGATCGTCATAAATATTTCAGAGGGGAACCAGGAGTCTCCAAAACCAAAATGTATGCGTGATACGATTTATGAAATTGAATAAAAGAAAATTTATATGACAGAATAAAAGTCTACAGCATAAGGTCAATTAGAGAATTATGCATACTCCATAAAAGACTCAACGTGAAGATAGATACAATCAGTATAATGCCATAAGAAAAACCCACACACCAATGTTATTTTTAATAAACATTTGATCACCAATCAATAATCAAATCAAACACTAAAGAGAAATAATTACATTAATGCAGATCAAGGTTGCCAATATATACATTTATAATTCAGAGTACACCTCTGAAACAGATAGTCTAGGAAGATATCCCTGAAAACCTCGTCATCATTCCGCATTCCGCACAGTTCATTATAGTTAAGAAACTTAATGTCATCGCCGGCTTTCGTTATGTATAAATATAAAATTTAATGTGATGAAAGAGTAATATGTGAATCTATATATGATTCACCAGTGATTGTGTAACAATCTTTAATTTAACATCTTCACAAACTTTCACTACATTAATATAACATAACGGACATTTTTCAAAGGACTTTGTACATTTCCACAAATGACTAACATTTATGGAAAAATACAAGCTGTGCACTATGTCAATTTAGTAGGAATATCTGTAAATAGATAAAACGGAATGATAGCGTACAGTGCCGGCACCAGGTTACACGGCACAAAGACGACGCCATAATACCTACGTCACGTGAACAGCGTGAAAGTAACAACACAACCTTGGAGGAAACCACAATCACGAGACGTGCAAAAACTCAATACAGTCTATATTACAGGCGGTTAGAGGAATAGATTAGAATGCTGAAACGTGACAGCTTACTGATGGTGGTAAGAATTGTTGTGATTCATGTGAATCAGACCAAAGAAAAGAGACCAGTCCAAAGCAATTAATTCAGTAATTGTGATGTAAAGCAGCTACATATTGAAAAGACAAACGTAATTCTTTCTAATGAATTGTCACAAAATTAGAATCAGACACCACGGGAGATCAACAGCAGTCTAGTCTTTCCTTTTTAATAATATAATGTATTTTATGTATACAATATATTTAAAATTATTTATACTTTTAAGTAACAGAAGCATTTAGCGATTTAAAGACAGGCCTGAGACAAAGCTGTAGGACCAAATTAAAACAAATAATATAAAAATTAAATTGATCATTCAACTAGATACTGTATAAGGCTCGTGGAACAAAGTACAAGACAGAACTGCAAGATAACAAAAAAAAAATTAACCCAAGTAATAGTAGGTCAATATTCTGTTATCGATATAGATCCGTGCCCAGCAGTAACAGCTCACATTGTCAGTTGAGATACTATGCTGTATTGAATTGAACTTCTACACAGGCAACAATGCAGCGGGTTTTTATTCAAATTACTTAATTTATAATGTGATGTTATTTTATATAGAGACCGCTGTTCAACCTAAGGAAAGACGGGCGGATAGAATATTTAATAATAACAATTATTCATTTGTTACATCATTCAATGTAAATTGAATAGTATTGATTCATAAATATAGTCCTTATACCTATGACAATTATAAATGACCACGTAATACCTACTGTATTGTAACAATAATTTACTGTTTATATAAATTTATAATGTTTTACTAAATTACAATTAGGCTGAATCCCGCATTTGTTTGTACAGTCAAACATACGATACTAAATTTAAATAAAATAGCAGACAATTTCTTATTCAAAATAAATAAAGAATGCCAGATGTCTTTACAAATTATAAAACTATTTTACGCAAATTGTAGTAAAATAATTATCATTAACATTGATAGCATTATATAGTAATAAATGATTACCCCACATACCTACATAGATATACAGATAATATTCATTCATACCAGATTATATAATGTCATACATACTAGAGAAAATAATGCGTAATTTTAAAAAGCAATCACAAATGGTCAATGATATATCACCTAATCTATAAATACTTTATCGTAATATCTCATAAAGTGAGAGATAACGTTGCAGTTTAAGTGGTGATTTTATAGGGAATTGAATTAAAATGTTATCACTAATATTACATGTCAAAATGAAATTTTACAATGATGTTTGTTATACAGACATGCTTAGACAGGTTTAAATAGAATTTGATACAAAAGACCATAACTTGGTGTAAAAGTTTATGGTTATTACAATGCTCCTGCATTGTAATACAGAACACTTTTACACCTAATTCAGCACAGGATCCGTTGATGGATAATATTTCTTTTCATCGGTAAGAGAAGTCATCTGTGAGTATACTTTGCCATAAAGCAGTGGAGTAGTAGTCTTTTGTAAAGCATGATCATTAAGTAGGTACCACACCTTCAAATGACGGTACTCCTCATGTATGTAGGCAACGATTACCATTTATTATAACAATAATAATAATAATAATAATTACTTACTTCCGCCTTACTTCCGATGGTCGCGGGTTCGATTCCTCGCACGGCACAAACATTTATATTCATGAGTACGATTATTTGAATCGGTCTGGGTATTTTCTATGTATAATATGTATGTATTTACGAAAAAATATATATCTATGTATTTGTATCAGTTATCCAGTATCCATAACACAAGCTTTAGCTAGCTTGGGTCTAGATGGCGCTGTGTGATTTGTCCTGAGATTATTATGTTATATTAAACAAAAACTAAGATGGTGGATTAACGACACGATTCTCTGATGATTTTGGATAGTTTATCTATCAAAAACAGTAGGTATAATTCTATTCATAATCAATAACATAGTTTCAGTCACTAGGAACTAATTTATTACTGTTGACTTTTTATATCATACTACAAAACAATTAGGTACCTACTTAGTAAGTAGTTAAAACAAACTGCGCATTACTTTCAATAGTGAAGGTTATTAACAAAGTTATCAGGAATGATAAGAAGCGTCAAATCTGCATCACAATTGTTATTTCATGGTCAAGTTTTAACATGTTGATTGAATGTTATGTAGCAGTCAATAGATTATATCTACAAAATACTGTCATCTTATTATTTGTTATTTATTTCGGAAGGATAGATGATAATGATATGGTGCCCTCGCCTGCTCTAACGATATACGGCGACGGTGCACCAATGAAGGATGATAATATGATTGATCCAAAATTAACCATTATGGTTTCCAGGGTCGACCTGATAAGTTACATCGCTACCAATGAGGACAAATTACTAACAATCCCACTATTATTTGTTATAAACTGAGACCGCGACTCGTGGTGTTCGGAATAAAAACTATTAATAACATTTTTGTTAGTAGATAAATCGATTGGAACAAAACAAACACTAACTTTAATGAAGCTTACCACAATACAGTAGTGAAAATCCGAAACAAATCGGTTATGCCGTTTCTGAAATTAGCGTGCACAAACGCACAGACAAACAGATAGAAAACCTAACAATCATTGTTTTAGGGTCTGTTACATTGATAAAGTCCAGCAATAACAGTCCCTCATATATCTTCCATGTACAGACAGTCATTAGTTTAATTTTTATTATTATAAAAATGAAAAGATGAATGTATAAAAAACATAGTTTAAAACAATTGGTTATATCACAGATAAGAGAATTACTTTATATACTTGCTCGTATAAACCAAGTAATATACTTGGTTTATACGAGCAAGTAGATTATTTACACCTTGGAACGATCTTCTTGCTGTTTCCCTAATGTATGATGAAATATTCCGGCGGAAAAAATAAGAAGATGTATTATGAAATAAATGACGGACAAATAGTAAACATTCCACAATCTCGTCTTATTTCACTAATATGAACAAAGTAATAACATTTCACAAGTCAACATTTAATATAGTAAATAAAAGTTTCTAATCTAATACTAATGTCTACACGAAAATTTCCACAACAGCAGCATTTAATAACAACAGTGTAAAGTTTAATTAAATAAAATATTATATTTTAGTCCATACTCATATTACAAATGCGGAAGTATTTTTGTCTGTTTGTTACCCGGTTACCTTATAAATAGATGAATGGACCTTAATGAATAAGATTAATTGTATCGTGATAGGGGTATTCCCCCCTATCATGATAGGGGCATGATAGGGGGGAATACCCCTATCATGATATAGGGATCGTTAGTAATGTAGATTAACAACCACATTGCTAGCAATGTACCATATTAGGTTGAGCACCATGTGGAAACCATTGTGAATTTACCATAATGGGCTAACTGACCCGACCCTCATGCCCATCTTACTATTGTCCACTGGTGTAAATTGTAAATCAATAGCGCAGGTGGGTGCACCATTCCATTATCATCCATAAGATTGTATCATGAGAATGTCCATGCTCATACACTTGTACATTATACACACATAGCTTTTTTTAAGAAAAGACAAACAAAGTCATGATTAACTACTAGTGTAATATAGGCATATACATATCACATACAATGCCTTCTAAAACCCATTATTACAAATGTAATAAGGGGCTCCTTTCAAATCTTAGTATAGAAATGTCAATCTTCATACCCTTATCAATTCTGTATACATATCAATGTGTACCTAATATCAGTTGAGAACATCAACAATGGAGCCAACATAGTGTATGTTAAAGGCTTAATTAAATGTCAGTAACAGGGAATATTCACTATATTGCTAGCAATGTACTCTCTATCAGGTTGATCACCATACAGTTCCCTTAGATATCACAATATTGCACATATTATGATTTCCAAGAAAACACACAGATATACAAATGTTTGCACTGTATGAAGAATCGAGTCCACTGACCATCTTATGATGGTAAGTGGACTCAATTCTTCATAGACAACTCAATTCTTCGTAAGGTGGTGTATTAAATGGCTAGACCACTGAGGGTCTCCACCACTGTACACTAAAATTATTGGGGAAAGATACTGTTAATAGTGACCCCGATGCTAATAATGCACCATGTTAGGTATACCTTAATGTAATCCCCCTGAAAACTGTTGCAGTTAATTTCTGCTTATTGCAGGTAATTTCTGATTATTACTATAGGCTATGTAACAATGTGAACATATGAACTCTATTCTCCTCATTTACCCTCTCATCTGAGCCATAGTGAGAATAAAACACATGTGTTATACATATATGTGTACATGGGCCCTGCCAGTATTTATCATTAACATAGATGAGTTCTCCATTGAATTATCATCCACAAACAACAAATATTATGATTAGTGACTATATCAATATCATATGAATTAATTGAAGCCATTACCACTATGGAATAAAGCAGTGACTGAGTTGTTGAAAGGCTAAACTCATAATACTGATCACTTATATTCAGGTCAGATGCATATCAAATAATGTTTGGAAAATAATATATAACTAAGTAAGTAAATTATAACTAACAATTTACTTTAACAATTGGGTACATTTACAGAATTAAAGATACTAATATGATAATAATTCTCTGTGGTAAACTACTATATACTAAATGTACATTAGCCTGAATATCAAATGTGCTGTTATCAAATATACAAATAAACTTATCAGAAGGAGCCACAATTTACTCTCAATTTCTAGCACCTACACATATTTATTTAATGTCTGAATTCCACAAATAATTAAATATTTGACTATACATTGTCAAAAAGTAAATCCTATTGATTTATGAGAAAAATAATGAGATGTGATTGAGGATGTTTCACTAGAGCAAACATACATTAATGTCTACTGTAAGACCACAATTCTAGAGAATAATTTCTATGTTTATTGTTAGCAAGGCAAACAGTTAACCTGATAAAGTCTAAAGTAACATGTGCATCATATTATTTCTTTTTAATTAATACTTTTTCATAAAACATTAAATAACGAAATAAAATACATGCTATTCATTTAATTTGTGAGTAAATTGTTGGAAGTAGTAAGTCTACAGAATGTATAAGACTAGCTGGTTTTATGTATAATCAAATATTTAAGATGTAAGAATACTCACTCGCTATTTTCCTTCGTTTTCTCGACATGTTTTTTTATATCAGCAAGTGAAGAGTCCAATCTGCTTAAAAAGTCGTCAAAAGTCTTTTTCTCGTCCGGGCTACCAGGAGAGAAATCTCTGGTGGGCATACCCCCAATCGAAGCACGATGGCTCGGTGGGGGCGGTTCCGTAACTCGGTCACCATTCTCATAAAAAGGAGAATCCATAGTCACAGGAATCAATAGGTACTCTCTTAAAAACAAACTGTCCGATGCAAACAATCGATTTGCTCTTCTTATTTTCTCCATCTGCAACCAATGTCAACACAAATGACAAACTATTCTGGATTCATAAAGCTTGTAATTAAGGACTTCCACTTTTATTTTTGTGTATTCACTTACAGTTACTCCATACTTCAAAGCGATTCCTTGAAGCGTATCGCCTTTAGACAGCATATGCTTAATATATTCATCGTTCCTCTTCATGTGATTGCATGTACTCCCATATTTTTTGAGAGGTCTTGCGGATTCTCTTATTGATACTCTCTCATCGAAGAGACGTTCTTCCTCCATTTTTGACGTACGTATACAAAAATGACAGCGTAGCGTATTCCACTAACCTGAAATAATGCGAACTGAAATTAGTTACAAATGATAAGCTGTCATTTGCAGATGTCAGCTTCTTGAAATTGTACGCTATTTACCAATAGATAGCGCTTGTAGTATTCAATAATTCTAAGTACTGCTAGTACTAATAGATGGCGTAAAATAGGTTTCCGCTGCTTTACCCGGGCGTTGCTTTGAGAGTTCCATCTCCTTTCATTCAAATTCATTCATTCAAGTCTTCACTTCAGTATGACAATACTTGTGGTAGTATTCGGTGTTTTGTTGATTAATCCAACATAATTTTATTAAATTGTTGATAATAACTGAAAAATTTTGTGATTTGTGTATGTAGTTCTATGAATTAATATATCTTACTTTTTGTATAATATTTACTCGTAATATTGCAAAGTTGAGTGCAGTAAATCTTTAAAAAAAATAGATTTTTGTGTGGTGTTAAGTGTACACATGTGATCAATACAAGAAAATATTGCAATTTTCTTCGTTTTCAAGGTATGTATGAATTAAAACGATATAAATTTGAAAGGACGAGTAGCATTACAATAATTTATAGTTCATGCAGCTCCCTGGATATTATGCCCGGTCGAGTCGAGCACACCCGCCCCATGACGGAGTAGCGAAATATTGCAGGGGTTGGTGGTCGGAGTAGCGAAACAATTTTATTACTAGTATGGGGCTGCACTTTTTGTAGTTTACTTCATTTAACATTTGAGAGAAAACTTACTTTTGTGAAACACAAGTAAAATATTTAACGATATTTTCGTAAGATATTTGCCGTACTTACTAACTAATATTGTGAATTTATTGAGTTACCTTGGGGTACCTTCAATTATTTTATGTTATATCGATGGTAGAGACATATTTATTACGGTCTAGAGTCGGTCTTGGTACTGTAATATTTCTGCATATAATAGGTACCTACTTTGATTATTTACCTAGTATCTGACTAGGCAACTAATTAAAGTACCCCTAATGAAAATGCGTTATACATATTTAGAGTTTAATTTGAGTATTAATTTTCTTCTATTTAATCTAGGTAGCTTTATTTTATATATATCTATCACCACTCGCGCGTTGTTGAATCACAAAGCTGGTGAAGATTATTACCAGGTTTGTGATTCAACATATTAGCTGCTGTTGCTTCTGTAGGAACCCAATAATATCATCGTCATAACATAACTCAATCTTCCTACAAGAATAATGAAAATAACTTATAAGAAAAAAAACAATCGAATTGAGTTAGTTTTCTTTCCAGAAGTAAACAGCAGGCTACAAGCATAAATTTCTTCGTTATACACAAGCTTCGTTATGCACTAGTAGAGGATGATAGGGTGAGCATGAAGTCAAGTGAGGCGTTAGCGAATTCACCAGAAATTACCCATGATGGTTTCCACAGGAGACAGCCTAGAGATCAATCTGACATGGTACATTGCTAACAATAATGCCGATTACAATAATATATATTTTATAGTTAAAAACTAGCATCTGTTGCAAAAAAAAAGATCCCGTTACGAAGTCCCAATCTGTGCTCAGTTACAGAATTCCCTGATTGTAAAAAAAAACATTACGAATTCCCATATACATACGTTATATTCATTTTTTAACATTACTTAAAACCTTTATTCGTATATAGCGCACAAGCTTTCGACGTCGAACTTCCATTAGGGTAGGTAGGTATACTCTAAAATTTCTAACCCTTCTGTTTTACACGTTAACTAATAGGTTCATTAATAATTATTTATAATTTACTTAAATACAACCGACCTTTTAAATTAATTATAGTTAAATAGGTATTTTATTAGTTACTTTCTATTAGTATTGTTATTATGTTAGACATTTATGGTTATAAGGTAAAAGCACTAATGCCCGACACTGAACTAAAAGATGACACTTTCGAAAAAAATCTTTTCTATTAAGAAAACTAATCATTTAAGTAACACCACTATAGATATTAAAGATACCTATGGTCATTTATGATACGTGGTCAAAAGCTTGCATACATTGTCAAGCAAATTTCAAAACGGCGTCAGTTGACAACAGACAATATGAGCAGGTTGATAATAAGTGCGTAATTCTTAGCGTTTTTCTTAAGGCGACTGACTTTTAATAGGTATAAATTTATCTTATATATATATGATTGTTAGCTATTGTTGGTTTCGATATTATAAATATATGAAATTATTGATCTATTAGAACTATTTCCTTGTTATTTTCGCTTGTTTTTTTATGAATTTTAAGTGGTGTTTACTATTAGTACCACAAATCAAACAAAACCTAAAAGATGACATGTGTGTCTTCTATTAGGGTTACATCGAACTGATTTTGTTAGCTTATTTTAATGCAAATTTAGCCTTTACGTTTTAAAACTAATGTTTATATCCGAGTTTCGTTTATTTTACACTAGTCTAACTATAAGTAGACAGTGTCAACTATTAGGGTATACTAGGTGTCAACTATTAGGTATCCATTAATTTAAAATTAAAGTTCGAGTACGATGCCTCCAGTAAAGGGTCTGATGTTTCGATACTCCGATGACAATATGGAAGCAGCTATATAAGAATGCAGGCGGGACGTTCCGACAGCGGAGAAGAAATTCGGAGTCCCCGAGTAACTTTGATAAACAAAGTCAAGGGAAAGACCTATTAGATGTAAAATGGGAAGAAGGTGTTACGTGACCGAAGCGGTGAAAGAATATTCGTAACATGGGCAAAAGCTATGGTCAAACAAGGGTACCCAATACGAAAAGATAACTTACAAGATAGTGCTAAGAAAATAGTTCAAGACCTTAAGATGGTAAGATAGAATCCAAGAACGGTAGACCAGGGAAGAGATAGTACAACAGCTGTTTAAAGCATCACCCTGACTTTATAACAAGGTAAATTTGACAGCCTCCAGAGCATCTGTAATGATATCTCAAATAAAAAATTGGTTTCAAGAAATTGGCACTTGCCTAAACAGTAATAATCATAGAGATATTCTTAATGAATCTCAGCGAATTTATAACATGGACGAGACTACTTTCTTCGTGAACCCCAAAGGAATTTGGGCCTAGTATCAATAGTTTAGGTTTTGAATAGTTTAAAGTACTTAATATCATCATCATCATCATCATCATCCCAGCCTGGAAGACGTCCACTCTGGGCAAAGACCTCCCCCAAAATGCCAAAATGTAATTACTTTTGACAAGCAATATGGCTAAATATTGATTTTCTGATACATATTTTTATGTTAATTGATTTGATTATATTTTGTTACTAATTTAATAATTTTAAAGCATAGGCTGTGCTTGGTATTCATTTTAAAGTATTTTTATTGATTTGTTTTGATGAAACACATAATATTAGAGTGATCTTATATATGTCTACTATTAGTGCCAATTGATGTCTATTTTTGGTGGATTTGATTTTTGATGGTGTCATCTTTTAGTGTCTACGACAAACCTAAGAAGAATATTATTCTTAGTTAAAAATATGTCAGTTTTAAAACATCTTACATGAAAAAGTTAATTTGTAAAAGTTGCTCTAACAGTAAAAAAAATTGTAACTGTAGTTTTTTGATAAATACATCTGCATTTTTGAGAATGAAGTTTGGTTTGTCCTTAATGTGTCTAGCATTAGTGCTTTTACCTTAGTTATAAACTCAAGCTATTGACTCACTACACAAATAAACGGACACCTGTCCCTAATCGCTCTATTCATCCCTAACCGGTTGACTTCTATTATGATAATAAAAAGAAAAAATGCGCGTGAGTCACTAACACCAGTCGTTCAAGATCATTCATTTTCATGAGTCATCTGTGGACTCCCCATAGTTATCTTCTAATCGCTCATCAGATTACTCAGATTACGTTGTATTAACTTTTATTTAAAATTAATAAGCTTTGACATATCACACCGTCCATGTGAGCAACTACGCATCATGTTTAATAGAGTAGTTAGATTATTATGAGTATTTTTTATTTATATCGGTATATTGAAGTTGCCAATGTGTTTTGAAAACAAAGTATTATACCTAAGAGTATAAAATAATGGGATATATCAACAATATTCGGTCAAATAATTGCATACACGATTTTAAAATCTTAAATTTTATTTATTTATATCATCCTATAGAAGTACTTTTAAATTGAAACTTAAACTTTTAAATTAATCCTTTAGTTATAGTTCATTACATAGCGTAGGTGCTCGTTTGAAAGTATGGTGAATTAAGTTAATAATGATGACTACAATCGTCTCGGTTACTAATAAATAAATCATTATTCCGGCTTGTCCTTTAATATGACCATGAAATGGAACGCAATTCGATCCTGTTAAAGACAGTGAAATTCCTATTAAACCGGTAATGCGATACCCGAGGAGTGTAAACATAAGAGGCGGAGACAAAGCGGTTTAATATGTTGTTATATCGCTTTATAGTGGTTCCCATATTTGACTGTGCCGCATCTCACCTACTAAAAACTTCCCAACTCATTCTTACGCAGTCTTAAAGTAAGTAAGTCGTTTATTTGCATTACAGACAGATAAAAATGTGGTATAAAGTACTAATAATTTTCAGTTTCTTAGTGACAACTTAGACAACACTAATTTGAATGAAGATATGTATATATATATATGTTGTTTTATCGCTTTATAATCTGGAACAATGACTTCCCATAACTGACTGCACCGCATCTCACTTAAATAAAAACTTTCCAACTCGCGATTCATCCTTTCGCAGTTTTAGAAAATTGGTCATAAAGAATACTTAAACGACACCAATTTGAATGAAGATCTTTTCACATATAATACATGATATTATATGAATTAAATATTTTAATACAATACAAAAAGTCAATCCAGCTATTTATTGTGCCCATCGATCGGTCCATGTATGGTCCATTTATCAGTGCTCGTAATATTGTTATTAAGTCTCAACTCAAAAGTGCCATAGTTTGAGAACTACTGGTCGAAGGCCAGCACAAGGAGTGAACGTGGAATGTTCAGTAATGATGCGTCAATTCATTCAGTTCCGACAGACCCAGTTCACTTTCTGAGAGCCATGCGCTTTACTCAGAAACATCGCTGAGTAATCGAACGGTATAACGGTGTCGGAACCAATATGGTGTAAGATTACCTAGTTACGTAATATCGAATGAAGGTAAGTCGAAAGACATCCTATAGTAACATGCGTTTCGACAAAAAGTACGTTATTATAACGTTACCACTTCGATGGTTTAGCTGTTTGCACTCTGCCTTCTTCGGATAGGTGCGACTCGCGGGTTAATATCATGAGCATAATTGGTTGTCTGGGTGTTTTCTTTGTTATTATATATATATATATAATAAAAGTATTTGAGTATTAATCAGTTGTTTAATCACATAAATTGCGCTTAAATTGAATTGTGCATTGATGTCAAGTGTGTGAATTGTCCAGGGTTAGGTAGTTAGTTTACCTTCCGATAGTTGAGAATAATTAGGATCGTTTGTTTTGAAACACTTTTAATGGATAATAAT